CTTAAATTTTTTTTGCACTCTACTTATTTTGACCTCTATAATTATTATGCGTGGGCTTAACAATGTTATTGATTAGTGCTCTAACCGCTTCTGAATCAAAACAATAGAAGTGCTTATTTTATAGTCAAAATCTTTATCATGAACTTTACCAGACCCCAGCGCTTAAAATCTTGAAACCAAAAGTGTTACAACAGCAGCATCTTCAAACAGAGCGGATCATTCAAAATTTCATTTTTGCCTTGAATAAAGTGGGCTATCCGTGAATTGATTATGCCGCCTCAATTTTTTAAAGATGCACATTCAGTATTGAATAACAAGTTTGTCCCAAGATCATTTGCCCTTAACTTGAATGTTAAGGAGAATTCAGACGGTGGTTCAAGTGGTGATCAAAGCTTTGGAAGCCCAAGTGAATCTTCTGTCACGCCTAGAGCGACATCAACAGCTCCTTCAACTGGCTCATCGTCTAGATTTTTCGGCGCTTATCCTGGCGGTAAAGAACGTCACGATCATAATGATGATATATTAGAGGATTCATCAATGGAGAATTTTGAAAATATGGTTCAGCCTCAGCCAAAACTAAAGAATGATCAGGGTTCTGAAGAGAGAAGAGTTGTTTCAACAGGGAGATCATCCACTTCAGGGTCTGACGTTCTTGAGATTACAGATGTTAGAGAAGTTACACAGGTTGATCAATCACCAGAGTATCCTGAATCTTCAAAACACGACAATCAGTCACATACATTGGATAACAAAAACCAGGATCTCGAATACCAGGCTGCAGAGACTTCTGCAGATTTGATAATGGAAGCTTTAGTAAAGTCTCAAAGATTGTGTTCTCAATATAAACAAAAGTTGGCAAAAGCAGAATCTAGGATCGCTAGTCAAGAAGAGGAAATCCAATCCTCAAAAACCTCTGTGCTGACTTTGAAGCTAAGTGTTAAAAAGAGTCAAGACCTATTATCTGTCTTGGAGTCAAGATCAAAGACCTTTTATGAATCGCATAAAGAGGAAGGCTTACACTCCTCGTCTATAAAGCAAGAAATCAAAAGCCTCTTGGAAAATATAGAACAGCAGAAGAATGAGAACTTATCCTTAAAAAAGAAGTTTGAATATTTGAAACAAATAAAAGTTTCAACGGGGTATGAGATAGAAAAGAGTATGTGAATTTTCAACTTTTATTTGTAATTGGTTTACTAACCTTCATAGAAAACAAAGAGATCGAACACTTTCAAGAAAAATTGGATGAAACCTCAGGATTGTTATCTGAGCAGAAAATAAAATGTTCTGAGTTGGAGAAGAAATTAGAAACATGTCGTAAAGACTACGATCAAAAGCTTGACTTAAATTTGAAAGAAAACGAAAGGGTCCAAGAGGGATTGAGAAACAGTTTAACTGAATTCAAAAATGAGATTATTGAAAATCTTTAGTAAGTATTCAAATCTGTGTTTTCTTTTGAATTAATTACTGACCATTAAAAGTACAAATATATCCCAAGTTTTACCACTGGTTGATAAGAAATTTTCTGCTTCTGACGTCAAGTTAGAACAATTAGTTGAAAGGTATCCACACCTGTGTTTTATCAAATTATTTAAACTTGGTGTGACAGCATAACTAACAACTAATAAAGGATAATTAGCTCTTTAAAGCTTAATGAAGAAGGTATCAATACCCATCTTACAAATAATGAAAAATCACAAGGTGAAATGGCAAGTAATTTGACTAGTCTCAGGGAATATTTAAAGCCTAAAATGGAGAAGGTTAATGCTGATCAAGCTTTTGTGAATTCAATTTGTACTCAAGTTCTTGATGAATTTAAACAGTTGGTAAACGATGTCAAAAGGAATCACTCACAAACCTCTGAAATTGAAAATAGTTGCAAGAATGTGGTGAATAGTCTTGAATCATTGGAAGACAAAATTAAACAAAATAACGTTAACTCAAAGAAAGTGGCAGATCTTATGGAATCGAATAAATCGAATGAGAAGGAGATATCAGAACTCAAATTGAAACTCGGTGAATTTCATACCGAAAAGCAGCTCCTTTCTAAGGAAATTGAAACTTTGAATCAAGACATCCTTAAGATCAAAAGTGAAAGAGACGAATCATTGAAAAAATTCCAAAAGAAGTCTGAAGAGCATGAAAAGTATATTACCCAATCAGAACTGAAGGCTAATAAATCCAAGACCACCTCTGAAAGTAAATTGAGGACTCAAATGGAAATCCACAAGTTGATAGGTGAAGAAAGAGATAAACTCAAACAGGAACTAGAATTTAAAAATACAGATCTAACAGGTTTACAGAATGAACTTATTTCTTTAAAGACTACTCTAATGGAAAAAGAAAAATTAATTACAAACTATGAAACTGAGAAATCCAGAAATGATCAATCTTATAAGGATATTGAAGCTGAAATCACGAAATTAAAAGAAGAGAACAAGCGGTTATGTGATAGTATCGATGCTCAACTCAATTTGTCAACAAATTATCCTCAAAAAAAGCCAATATCTGTTCCTGCTCCAGCTAGTCAAGAGTCTACGAATGATTTAGAATTAACAGCAAGCTTTCAGGAACTCAATCGAAAAGATTTACAAAAACCAATCACTGTTAATTTGAAGCCTGGCTCCTTAAAGTCAAAACCTGTTGATTCAAAAAAGAAAACAATAGTTTCAAAATACAGCAAAAGGAAAAAGCTTCTTGAAGATGATGAGGGTAATTTATTTGATAGTTTTGATTTTGAAGAAACTGGGAGTGATCATGCTACTGCACCAAAACGGTACACCAAAAGAAGAAAAACTTCTGATAAAAATACCAAAAAATAAAATTCTTAACTCCCTATTTACAAGCTCAGATACATTATGGCAATTTCATTACTACCGTATGCTAAGTTTATAGTTTCTTTAATATTATATACATTGTTGTGATTTAATCGGAGCACTTTTGATCGTTTTACTTATTGATCTCTTCTATTATTTCATCGCCATTTAATCTATGCATGAATTTAACAGGATCTTCTTGGTTTGTTCTATCAACGTGTAACACAGGAACATCAAAGCAATAAGCATCCCACCATTGTTTATTCAAGGGTTGTGTGATATCAACATATTGAAGGTTTATCTTTTTGGATAATTTGTCGCTGTTATGAACCTCATCCACAACAACTTTGGCTTTATCACATAAACTGCACCCATCTTTTGCATATAGAGTCAATGTCACTTTTTGGAATAAGCTAGCTTGGGAGGAGAATTGCCTTCTAAATGGTGATTGGAGTATTGTTTTAGCAGAGTATCTGAGCATCTTGTTAATTTCTAGGTTGTGAACCATAGGGTTGTAAATGGAGAAAACGTCAATATCAATAAGAAACTAATTTTATTTTCCTTGCGCGCGAAAAAAAAAAAACATTTTAGTATTTCAAAGCTATGCGTTTAATATAATTGTCTATTGTCTATTGTCTATTGTTATAATTGTTATAAATCATCATTTCAACGTGCCCACGATCCAGGTGTCGGTATCTTTTGTGCGTTTTGTATATCTGCGGTGTTGCAAACAAGATCCAGTTCATGCGGTGATTTGGACTTATAAATTCTTCCCTCATCAATTTCTTTCCACCAACTAGATAAAAGGTTTGTTAGTTGCTTTTCTTCCTTTGGTATCTTGAAGAACACATTACTTACGACATGGCACTTGGTTGGCACTCTAAAATAACCATATGAATCTTTGTGGCCATCAGGCGAATATCTCCATGATTTTTTATCCAGAATCCGTTTTGAACTGTTCTTTTCAAATCAAGCTCATAATCTTTTAATTGATTCTCTAGGCAACACTTGGAGTGTCTTTTCAACATTATATATATCAATTCATAAAATAGTTTCTGACTGGAGAAATCTTCTGTGAAATCTATAGCTTGTGTTAGGATCGGTATAAATCCTGATAAATCATTACAGTCATCATTGTTGAAGAAAACTTTCAATAAAATCAGTATCTTGATTTGAAAATTCTGTAAAATTTCTGAGCCGAGTGTTTGTGCTGAGCTAAGTGAGGCAATCTGTAAATTAATAAGGTATCGAACTATAACATAATGAGGCATTATTATTGGTGAATTGATCTTCCATTTAGCAAACTGTGTTCTGATGAAAGAACCATTTTGTTCATAATGCATTACCCAATGGGCATAACAATATTGTAACATCGTTTCGACTAAGCTCCTGAAATTATAAGCATTTGTTCTTAACAGTAAGCTGAATATTTTACCTGTGTCAATGAGCTCTTCTATTGCGTTGTTAAGACTTGGAAGAAATATATTTGGGTTGTTTAATGTGTGTGAGTTGGCAATGATTGCTATGAATCTTAATATTGCAATTCCTTTGGTAGCATTATCAAGGATTGGAGAAGGACCCTCGTGTACCGAAATTTCTTCAATTTCTTTAATTGTTTTTTCAGCTGTCCAAGGGGAGTGAAATGATACATGTTGATACGGAATCGATAGCTCAATTGCTTTCCTCAAATTCAAAGATCTTGGATCTTCCATGATTGGTTGTCCATTGTGCTCTGTTGGTTTCAAGTAATACAACTCACTTATTGAATATATTCTTTTGTTCAAATTTGAAGATTTAAGTAAATCATGCTCTGGTAAAAGATTTTCTAATGAATTGAGTGAATAAGTTATAGAATTTTGGACAACGTGTAATGGAGAGCAAGACAGATCCAAATTTTCATTGTCAGGCAAATCCCCTTCAAAAGTGTCACCCAACGTTATATCTCTATTTTCCATTTCTTCTTGAGTATGTGAAAATCTTCTTCCCGTGGATAAGATATTTTGATGATTTATTAAGCTTGTATTGTTTTGTTGTAGGGTTGGATATGCTGGGTTTGTTTGACCTTGAATCATTTCTGCATTATTTATTCTTCCTGTAATATCATCAATAGAAATCTGTGACCTTGATGTCCAATCTGATCCTGATGACTGCAAACGCTTCTTCCTTTTTAATGAATACTGGTACTCCCTGCAACCAAACCAAAATCCAGTCAATATCAACGTTATGAACAACAAAGCACCAAATATATATAGGGTTTCAAGCAACGAATCATACTTTGTGTGAACAGGGGGTTTTGATCTGTAATTCACCATTTGATCATCTAAGTATCCAAAATGATAAGCATCCGAGTTGACACCAGGTATACCCCTTCTCTGAAATGGGGGGCTTTCCTTCAGATCTTTTATATCATTGTCCATAGCGCCATTTGAACCCTCAATTACTCCCATATTTCAACCTAAAGCCAGCACCTGATTGCTCTATAACAATTGATCTAGTGATTCAGACCTTCCGTGCTTTATAGCTTTCTTCGTTTTCCCATGATATAAATGATCAGTGAGTTTTGTGGATGGAAATGTGATCTCAGCACTTTGGCTTATTTTTGTGACACAAAGACGGACTTCGGAGTCACGAATCATCACGATCAAATGGCGCCATATCATAATGAAGAATAATCGATCAATGGATTCAGCTGAAAATCTCTCGTGTTTACTCTCACTGATATATTTCATACAGAGTGATTAGTGTTTCGAATGAACAGTATCCCAAATTCTGTAAGTGAGCGTGTCGCTAAAGGTAATTAATTACTAGTGTGGCATATCAGCGCAGCGCGATGTTTAGTGATATTTCTGAGACATGCTAGTTGATTATGGAGGCTAATCGTATACCCACATTTAGATGGAATCTATACTTCTATTGCTTACTTTATCTCACAAATAATCGAAGGTTCATTGGACGTTTCCGGTGTATTATAGGTCCGAGATTTCAAACTATGGCGTAATCAAATCTTAGGTTTAACAAGAGTATGTATGTCGGTCGGCCATAATTAATCCTTTGAGTTTTCCAAATTGTTCCAGGTTCCAAGATATTGGCATCAATGATTACTTGAAAGTTGACAGTTGATACGTGGGAGCTTGGCAGGTATTGGCGTTTGCATTATCATAATTTGATCGGTATTAGCTTTGAGAGAAATTGAATTTAATGACATACTTAATCTAAGCTTTCATATTCGTAGCTGGTACTGAGCGACAGAACGACACAAATTATGTCTAACAAAAGTCTAGTATCGAATTCAGCAATACTTCCTGAGACGCATGAAAATACCCTCTAAAAGTAATTGCTTTGGATTCTTTTCTAAGATTTAGGTCCAAGCTTATTTGGTATGTTATAAGCTCGTAGGTAAATAGGAATAGGCTGCTTTTGAATCTTGATTATCTCACGCGCGACTGTTGTACTATTATTTGCAATTTTGGATCCACAATTTCAACACCATAGGGATTTACCAACGGAAATCATCTCAACAGGTAAATTGGCAATGCAGCTTGATATTTATGACATATCCAGTCGACAAATAATCTTATTTTTGAGTTAAAATCGCTACTGTTGTGGCTTGTTGCTGCTAAGGTTTGTGATGTACTATAAAGAAATGTTCGGATGATGGCTAATTAAAATCCACAGTTCAAGACTCATAGACCTAAAGCAAGTCCATTGTCGGCTCTTTATCAGATATTGAAATTATATAAGTACAATAGTCAATCCTAAGATATATCTTTTTTTTTGGTGATCAGCTAAGATTTAAGCTCAACTTTCTTTATCAAATTTACATCAAGGATGACAAACTTTTTAGGAAGATGGTTCAACCCAACCATTATCAAAAAAGAAGAAAGGTTTCCATCATTTAGTGGTAATAGCTCAGCTATAAGTTCTTCAGAAAGAGAGAAGCAAAATAAGGGAAATACTATTGTTAACTATCAAGAACGCTTTAACGATGAAGAATCATTTATTTCAAATGATAAAGAGTTGGAACATGTTTTCAAAGATCCAAAAATTGCTGATTATTACAGAAAGCTTTATGAAAGTACAAACTATGAATGTAGAGACTGGTTTGATCCTGATTATACATGGACACCAAAGGAAGAACGTAAATTAGTATGGAAGTTAGATTGGTATGTCACATTTTGGGCTTATTTTATGTTTACTGCTTTAGATTTTGATAGATCAAATATTGCTCAAGCTTTATCAGATAATATGTTGGATGATTTAGGATTGAATACAGGTCATTATAATATTGCTAACACTATCAACTTGGTTTGTTTTTTGTTTTCTGAATTACCTTCTCAGTTGATTTCTAAAAAATTGGGTGCTGATGTCTGGATCCCAACACAATTAATTTTGTGGAGTACAGTTTCAATTGCACAAGCCGGTATGAAAGGAAAATCTGGTTTCTATGCTACGAGAGCTTTGATTGGGCTCTTCCAAGGTGGATTTATCTGTGATACCTGTTTATGGATGTCTTATTTTTATACTTCAAAAGAATTACCTTTTAGATTATCATTATTTTATATTGCAAATCCTTTAACTTCTGTTTTTTCATCATTACTGGCTTTTGCGCTGCTTAGAATTAAAACTTCATTGATGCCTCATGGTTGGCAGTGGCTTTTCATTGTTGAAGGTGTTTTCACTTTTTTAGTTGGTATTGTATCGTTCTTCAAAATGCCTCCTTCAGCTGTTCAGACTAAAACATGGTTTAGAAAGAAAGGTTGGTTTACAGATCATGAGGAAAAAATCGTTGTTAACAGAGTCTTAAGAGATGATCCTAGTAAAGGGGATATGAATAATAGAGAACCAGTAGGATTTAAAGAATTGATTTCCACATTACTTGATTATGACCTGCTGCCGATTTACTTTGTTAGAATTTTAGGTGATATTGGTACATCTCCAGTCTCAAACTATATGACTTTAACATTGAAAAAACTTGGGTTTTCAACTTTAAACACAAATTTACTTACAATTCCATATAACATTTTAACTATATTCACCATGTTGATAATTGGTTATCTTTCAGAAATTGTCAAATCAAGGGCTTTGATGATTGGAAGTGTTTCAGTTTGGATTATTATATTGCTGTTCCCATTGAGATTTTGGTCCGGCTCAGGTACTCAAGTATGGCCTACATATGCTATTTTAACTTTATTATTGGGTCATGCTCCAATCTGGCCACTCTCTATCAGTTGGTGCTCTGCTAATTCAAATTCTGTGCGTACTAGAGCTGTTAGTGCTGCTGTTGTTAATATATTCTCACAGGCTGCTAGTATAATCTCTTCTAACATTTATCGACCAGATGATAAACCGTTTTATAAAAGAGGTAACACTGATTTAATTGGAGTTGCTTTTGGTGCCCTTGCTATGTGTGTTTTAGCTAGACAATATTATATTTTTAGAAATAAGCAAAAGGCTAAAATATGGAATTCTTTCACTGATGAACAAAAAGAAACTTATATTCAGGAAACTACTGATCAAGGTAACAAACGATTAGATTTCAGATTTGTATATTGAGTTTATATTATAGATCATCTCATAGAAAAATTAATGTTCAGTTTTGATATAAATATTCTTAGAGATTCATCGTGTAGCATGACTCGAGGGTACTTCGAAAGTCTATTTACCTTATAAGCTAAATAATTATAAGTGAATCTGATATGACAGCAATTTATACAAGTCAATATTATTCTTTATAAGAATTATGTGATTTATGTGCCGCGAATCCAAGCATTGATATAATATTTTGTAGCTATTACTTGATTTATATGAACCCACTCCTTTCAGAGTTTAACTCCATGCCCTAAAAATAAAAGCATGAGTGTCTGATTACAGTTGTATCAACAAAAAATCTAAAATGGTATTGAAAATAGCACTCATTTCCAAATTAGCAAAAAAAATAAGGTGCTCCGCGACGGGGAATTGAACCCCGGTCTACCATGTATTGCCTTGACGACAAACGGTGATTCTAGCCACTAAACTATCACGGATAATTTTGGCATAGCCTCCGGCACCTAGTCCCCTGCTAAAATTCGCGGCTTATAACCACTAAACTAGCAGGCAACTTGTTAAAGTTATGAAATTTTGGGTTTTCCTGGGTGTGAATGTATCACGTGATTTTCTAAATTTTCATCGAAAATTCATTACAAAGGTTTCCCAGCTTTAGTTTCAATGGATAATATTATTATTTGGATACTTTAAAATCATGTAATTTGTTTAATTGATCTGAATAAAATAGTCTTGTTGCTGGTTTTCAATATATTAGCATAAATGAAGTTTTTAGTGCACGTGATGTTTTATGAAAATATGATTCTCGCGTTGTTTACAAAACAAAGAAAAATAATCTTTGGGATCTAAGATCTGTAGGATTTTTTTTGGTTTGACTGATTATCTGACCCAGATTTCAACATTGTGATTATTTCAAATCGATTTACTTGATACGAATTACCTGTTGATCAATGATGCGACGCCATTCTGAGATTCCAAACACACCAACACCTTTTTCAAAAGTTACCAATGAACTCAAAATTGGTTCTATGCTTTCAATTCCCAACACAGGGAGGGCTATTTTAAAATATATCGGCCCTGTCCAAGGCAAAGGTGGTAGATTTGCTGGTATTGAACTTCTAGGTGAAAGTGCTATTTTGGGTAAAAATAATGGTGATGTCAATGGTGTTCAATATTTTAAAACCAGTAAAAGTGGCTCTGGGCTATTTATGACATATGACAAATTACTACAATCCATTGATTTTGTTGAATCACCGTCAGTGTCGAAGAGATTGTCACTAATAGGATCACCTTTCGCTTCAAATAAGAAACTAGAAACAAATAGAAGGCACACAGCTACTGCTCTCACCCCATCATCTTTAGCATCAGTTAGAAATTCCACTTCGAAAGCTTCACATACCAGATCCAATAGCTCAACACCACCAGGACAAATGGTCATCAAAGATTCACCTTCAAGTGAAGAATTTAAAAGAGCAATCCGTGCTAAAGCATCACTTGAAACTGAGAAAAATAGCTTAATACATAAGACAGAGGCTTTAAAATACGAAGTGGAAGACCTTCAAAATAGACTAGAGGATCAGCAAAAAATCATTAAAGATCTCGAGATAACAAGAAACCAAGATAAGACTAAGCTGGAGAAAGCCAATGAGAAAGTAACAATCATTGAAAATAAACTTCATAAGCAGAAGGCAGCATTTGAAGAACAAAGAAATGAACTACTGGATGTCATTGAACAACTTGAATCACAGGTGAACGATAATGAAAAATTGTATTTTGGTGAATTGAAGAAACTTCAAGAAGAAATTACCCAAAAGGAAATTTCCCTTACATCAAATGCTGCTAATGGTTCCGAATCTAGCAATATCATCAAAGAATTGCAAGAAAAATTAAATATACTCCAGTCAGATAAAACCGAGAAGGAAACCTTTGTTGTTGACTTACAAACTAAAGTTGAGGATTTGGAATCCAAGTTACTTCATGTCAATAAAGAAAGCTTGGACCTGAAAGAGGCAATTATAAGTGATAAAACAAAATATGATAATGAACTAAAAGATCTAAAAGACAAGCTCAATGAGATGAGGGAAGAAGTTGCTGTGAGAGATAAAGTTATTGAAAAGTTAAGAGGAGAGATCAAAACAATAACATCAAAGAATGATACTAAATCTGTGATCAATGATACAGAGAACTTAGAAAAGGAAATAAGAGATCTAAAAACACAGTTAGAAGCTAAACACAAAGATATCCTACAATTCACAGAAACACAAAAGGAACTTGAAGAGTTGAAAAAATCTTCTCCCGAGAATTCAAGTGCTGATAAAATAACAGAGTTGGAATTTAAACTTGATAATAAAGAATCTATAATAAATAGTCTAAAGAGTCAATTAGCGTCATCGCTTGAATCAGGAAATGATGAAGGTGTTACACGTGAAGCTAACGAAACAATTTCAAAGCTACAAGATCAATTAAAGCAACAAGAAAAACTTGTTGAGGATAAACAAAGGATATCAGAAGAAGTTGAAAAGTTAAAAGAAGTTAGCCAGAGCTTGAGAGATGTTGTAACAGAGAAAGAAAAACAAATTTTAGAATATCAGACTAATATATCAACGTTAAAAGAATCTAAATCCAGTGATGATCAGTTAGAGAGTGCTTTAAGCTTAAAAGAAAAAGAACTAAAGTCTATGAAAGAAACCATGCAAGATTTACAAATTCAATTGAAAGAATTGAAACTTGTTGAGCAGAAAAAATCTGTTATTGAAACTGAAAGGGCTAATTTAAGTGATTCGTTGAAAGAAAAAAAATTTCAAATATCAACACTGAATAAAAAGGTTGATGAACTAAATCAAAAATTGAAAGAACAAACAGATAATAGTGATTATAAATCCTTATTAGAAGAGAAAAGTCTGGAGATTGAACTACTGAAAGAGGAATTACTATTGGCAAAATCAACAGAGCATTTCAAAGAAGTGGAGGCTCTAAAAGAAGAAATTTCCTCTCTAAAAGAGTTGAATAAATCGACAACAAATAGTGAGCTAAACAATCAGCTTAGAATTTTACAAGCTGAATTGAAGAGAAGGCCAGCAGCTTCACAAGTTGAAGAATTAAGATCTGAATTAGAGCTGATTGATGAATTGAGAAAAGTGGAGTCTAGAAACAAAGATAAAGAGATTGAAAAATTGAAAAAACTACTTTCTGAATTTGGTTCCACTTTAAAAGAGAATAAAAATTTAATCAAAACACCATCACCTAGAAACGAAAAAAAGACAACCCCAATTTCAATCAACAAAGAAAACAAGGAAACTAAGGTAGATGGAGCTAGAACTAAAGTATCTAAAGAACCTCAAAGTAACCGTGCTACTATGAGTAACATTTCGCTCAATAGACCACCCGTTATCTCACAAGTTGTTGATGGTGCTCTTCAAGTTTATGTTCCAGAGGAAAAGGTGGATCCTGCTAATGGTAGAAAATTATGGTGTGGTCTTTGTGAAAGGGAAGGACATGATAGTATTGATTGTCCATATGAGAATGATATTTTTTAAATAATTATATATTCAAATGATGAACTTATGACCTTGAATTATATTTCGTAGTTATAAATATGGCTACTGATTTGCAATATCATAGATTAAATATCTATATTTAGATCGCAATCAAGTATTTACTTTTGGGTACATATGATGAACTCTGATGATTAACCCTAATAATAAACCTTCTGGAACATATTTATATCCATTAAATTAGAAATATTAATGTTATTTTTTAATCGGGGCTTTTGATGTCTATATATAAAATATTTATTTCCTTGAATATCCGTAATCCTATATGTGTGACAGTTTAATATAGCAATTTTTTATAAGCTTATTCTGAGAACTGAAGCTGTCCTTTTAAGATTTTACAAATCACTGGATTACTTAGCAATAACTAATATAGAAATACTTTAAATACATTTAATAATATTAATATTATAAATATTAATAGTTTATATACAGCCATGACATAATACATTATGTAATCATAATATTTAAAATGATATATCAAAATTATATCTCAAACAAAACACATATATGTATTATTTAAATACTTATATGCTATTTATTTATCATAACTTTAATCTTACTATTTTGTTTATCCAAAAAATACGATTTAAAATTTTATAAATTTTCGGTTCACAGGAAATATCAATGTTGAAAAATTTATTAGAGCTTTAAAATTGAAAAAACTCAGAAAAGTCAAAATTTCAACAGCACTTAAATGAATTATTATATATACCATTAGAAAGATATAAATCCACAGATTTTAACTGATATCTTTAAATTATATCTTATATTATAAGAAATTTAAAATATTTCTCCTCTTAAATTTTAATTCTTATATAACAATTACATAAGCATTTTTTTTTTTCTTTGATATGAGTCAAATTTGAAAAAAAAGATCATATTTAATCTGTAAAAACCGAGTCTTATCAGATCAAGTACAACAACTTCAATAGTTTATAATCACAACAAATCAAGAATAGGAAACAATGCCATTCCCAGTGCTACCCGTTTTCTATGCGGGCTCTTCACAAGAAGAAATCTCCAAGTTATCAGTTACAGGTTCTGCGTTGTTCAGATTGAAAGATGAATCAGAATTATCAATTATTACTTCAAATACATCATTTATTAAAAATTCAACAATTAGTATTGAATTTGAATCAAAAATTGAAATTTCCAAAATTATTGAATTATTGAATAATGGTGTTAGTAAGATCTTTGGTGATTTAACTTATTCAAAAGAATTGATTGAAGCTGGTATTCCATCAAGTAGAATTGGTTTGAAATTAAATTCAACAAAAGAAATCTCTGAAAATGAATCATTCAATTCTTATATCTTACCTTCATCTGAACCATTAGGTGACTTGAAATCTGCTTCAAATAATGGTAAAAAAAACATTTATATTTCTTTAAGTGAATCATCAACAGTTACTATTAATTCATTAGCTGCATCAAATTTAATTCCAATTATTGATGCTAAAGAATTAACAACAGAAAAAGATTCATCTAAAACTTCAATCTCTGATTTATTCATCAATTCATTAACAACTGATAGAAAAGATGGTTTATTTACCACTTTAGTTACTGATATTCATAATCATTCTTTAGGTTTAGTTTATTCTTCAAAAGAATCAATTAGTGAAGCTATTAGAACTAAAACTGGTGTTTATCAATCAAGACGTCATGGATTATGGTATAAAGGTGCTACATCTGGTGCTACACAAGAATTAATCAAATTAGATAAGGATTGTGATGGTGATTGTTTAAAATTTGTTGTTAAACAATCTGGTGTTGGTTTCTGCCATTTAGAACAAGATTCATGTTTTGGTGATATTAGTGGATTAACAAGATTAGAGAAAACTTTAACTGATAGATTACAAAATGCACCAGAAGGTTCATATACAAAAAGATTATTTACAGATGAAAAATTATTAGTTGCCAAAATTAAAGAAGAAGCTGAAGAATTAACTGAAGCTGAAACTAAAGAAGATATTGCATGGGAAGCTGCTGATTTATTCTATTTTGCTTTGACTAGATGTGTAAAGAATGGTGTTTCATTAGAAGATATCGAAAGAAATTTGGATTTAAAAGGTTTGAAAATCACAAGAAGAAAAGGTGATGCTAAATCAAAATTCATTGAACAACAAGAAGAAGTTAAAAAGGAAACTAAACCAACTCCAACACCTGCCAAAAAAGAAGAAATTGAAGATCCAAATGAAAAAATCTTGATGGGTGTTGTTGATACTAAAACTGCATCAGAAGAAGAAATTGAAGATGCTTTGAAAAGACCAGTTCAAAAAACTTCAGAAATTATGAAATTAGTTAATCCAATTGTTGATAATGTTCGTCAAAAAGGTGATGAAGCTTTATTAGAATATACTGCAAAATTCGATGGTGTTAAATTATCATCTCCAATTATTAAAGCACCATTTGATCCAAAAAGTTATGAAATTACTCAAGAATTAAAAGATGCTATTGATATTTCTATAGAAAATGTTCATAAATTCCATAAGGCTCAATTACAAGATCAAACTTTACATGTTGAAACTCAACCAGGTATTGTTTGTTCAAGATTTGCAAGACCAATTGAAAGTGTTGGTCTTTATGTTCCAGGTGGTACTGCAGTTTTACCATCAACTACATTAATGTTGGGTGTTCCTGCACAAGTTGCAGGATGTAAAAACATTATTATTGCATCACCACCAAGAAAAGATGGATCAATTTCACCAGAAGTTGTTTATATTGCTCATAAAATTGGTGCATCTGCTATTGTTTTAGCTGGTGGTGCTCAAGCAGTTGCTGCAATGGCTTATGGTACACAAACTATTCCAAAAGTTGATAAAATTTTGGGTCCAGGTAATCAATTTGTTACAGCTGCTAAAATGTATGTTCAAAATGATACAAGTGCCTTATGTTCAATTGATATGCCAGCAGGTCCTTCAGAAGTTTTAGTTGTTGCTGATAAAAAAGCTGATCCAGATTTTGTTGCATCAGATTTATTATCACAAGCTGAACATGGTATTGATTCACAAGTTATTTTAATTGGTATTGATTTATCATCTGATGATTTAAAAGCTATTGAAGATTCAGTTCATGAACAAGCTTTAAAATTACCAAGAGTTGATATTGTTCGTAAATGTATTAAACATTCAACTACATTATTAGTTTCGACTGTGGATGAAGCATTTGATTTATCAAATAAATATGCACCAGAACATTTAATTTTACAAATTGAAAATGCCAAAAATTATATTTCAAAAGTTTTCAATGCAGGTTCAGTTTTCGTTGGTGCTTATTCACCAGAAAGTTTAGGTGATTATTCAAGTGGTACTAATCATACTTTACCAACTTATGGTTATGCCAAGATGTATAGTGGTGTTAATACTGCAACATTCCAAAAATTTATTACAAGTCAAGATGTTACACCTGAAGGTTTAAAAAACATTGGTCATGCAGTTATGTCAATTGCAAAAGTTGAAGGTTTAGATGCTCATAGAAATGCTGTTAAGATTAGAATGGAAAAATTAGGTCTTTTAGATAAAGATTTCGTATAATTCATAGATTATTTACTTAGATTGTATATATATCATATTAATATTATTGTTATTAGATTTATAAAAGATTATGTACTACAAATGAATTTTTCCAAATTAAATAAACTTCATAATTTTTTCTAAACAAAACACTTAATTATTCTAGATCTATAATTTTAAAGCTTTTTTCAATTCACCTGAACGTTTTAAAGATTGAACATCAGAATTACCACCAATATGTTTACCATCAATAAAGACATTTGGAACGGTTTTTTGACCAGTGATTTCAGCTAAAGCATCTTGAATATCTGAACCATCATCAATAGTGTTTAATTGTAAGATATAAGGTTGAACATTTAAATCTTTAAAAGTAGCTAAAGTTTCTTGACAAAATGGACAATAAGTTTTTGAAGCAATAAAGATGCTATTTGATTCAATTAAAGATTTAACTTTTGAGACAACTTCTTTTCTAGCCATTTTTGGAGGTGCTAAGAATCTTCTAAGTGTGGTATAAGTTCTAATAAGGATGAATAAACCGAGTAATATGTATAAAATATCCATAAATTTGAAAAAGAATATGGAATATGAATATGAGTATAAAAGAATTGCTCTTATATGAATTTGAATTTGTAATTTAATTTTTAACCAGTGGCGAAAAACGTCATAATTACAAATTCCGAAAACTGATTATGTCATATTTGTGCTGATGATTATGTAAGTGTAATTGGTTTTATGGCTTAATGTGATAAAATTTTCAATAAAATAGAGTTATAATGGGAATTTGAAGAGATAATAATGTTTTAATAGTTATTTATTCCAAATTTAGTGGAAAAAATCGTTGAAAAATGGTTCAAAGTACACTTTTCTGCCTAATTTTAGTGAAATTCTGTCATTTCCATCTGGAGATTGTGCAATTTTAAAGGAGATAAAGTTGTCCGATAAAAATCATTGCAGTTTGGAATCTTTTGATATTGAAACACTACAAAGTTCAAACCAATTCATACTAAATCATGGGTGTATTCACTGATCATCCTCATACTGCAATCACTGAGAAGATAGACAAGATCATAGAGTCAGATCTGGAACCGGAAATCGAACTACCAGAGCTTTTAGGAACCATAAAGATACAATATTCAGGAGCAATTGAAGCAGCAAGAGCTATACGTAAAAAATTAAAATATGGTGAATTAAATGAACAATTGAAAAGTTTAGATGTTTTAAATGCTATTGTGGCTAATGGTGGTAAAAATTTAGAAGAATTATATAATGATAGAAAATTAATTGAAAGATTAAGATTAAGTGCAACAGATCCACAAATTAATACAAAATTAAGAAAAAAAATCATTTCATATGCAATTTCATGGAATGAAAATTTCTCTGATAAAAAATATTATTATGGTATTGCAGGTTTGAAAAAACAAATCCCATCAAAAACTTATAGACGTAAGAAATCAACAGTTTCATCAACATCTGGAAATTTTATGAATGATGAAGCTTATGCTAGTGATGATGATTCTAATACTGCTGGTGTTGGATCTTCAAATGGTTCAAGAAGTGGTAATAGAAGTGGATCACAAAGTACAACTGCTGATCCAAATGTTAAATATAAAATCCCAAAGATTAATTTACAAAAAGAATCTCCAAAGATTAAATTATTAATTGCTGAAGCATCAAAAGCATCAATTGATTTAACAAATTCATTACATGCAATTAATAGATCAAAAGGTGAAATTTCAACTGATGATGAAAGATCAACTTTATTATTTGAAAAATCAAGAATTATTAGAAGAAAAATCTTGAGATATTTACAATTAGTTGATTCTGAAGAATTTTTAGGTAGTTTAATCCATGCTAATGAAGAATTAGTCGCTGCATTACAAAAATTTAGTGAATTAACAAAACCTGCAGATCATGATTCAGATGATGAAAGTTTAAGTTCATTTGAATCTGATTTAGAATCTGTTACTGATTCTTTAGCAAGTTCTATGATTGATGAACATGATAAAAAATTCCCAAATTCTAAAAGATCAGCTCCTTTACCACCTTCCAAATTACAAAGAGAAGCCACTGCTGAAGGGAATCCATTTGGTGATTCTAATGAAGTTGATGAAAGTGTTGAATGGAAATGAATTAACAAGATCATCATGACACTGCTCAAAATGGCAGAACCTGGATTTTTTTTTATTGTTTATTGCATATCACACCTATGAGGTTAAGCACTAGTTTTTCTATTTTGTAATGTATAATTGTAATGAATACAAGATGATATATATCATAAAAATCTGTATTTTTCATTGTACTTACTAGCATAATTCTACTCTTTTTTTGTTATTCTAACAAATTACCAAATTTTCATGATATTCGCGCTCACAAAATATTAAAAGTAAAAATTAAACCAGATCAAAAAGGGAATTGATCTAGTTTGGATTTCAAATTCATCAACGCAATTGCATCAGAAAAATCAATTGAAACGAAGCGAATTAGTGGGAAATAATGGCACCACTCAGAGGAGGATCTAGAGGAGGTGGTAAAAGCTTCGGTGGTGGAGGAGGTCGCGGAGGAGGTCGTGGTGGATCTAGAGGCGGTCGAGGAGGTTCCAGGGGAGGAAGAGGTGGTTTCAACAGTGGAAGAACTGGTTCAGCTGGTAGTTCACACGATGCAGGCTATAGCAATGGAGGTGGCGACTACCAACAGAATGGGTACTATGATCAACAACAACAACAACCACAACAAGGTTATGATCAAGCCCAATATCCTCCTGCTCAAGACCCTAACGGTGCTGCTCCTCCAGCTCAAGAATACAACTATGATCAATATTATCAACAACCACAACAGGGCGCTGAATATCAATACGATGCTAATGGGAATGCTTATGCTCAACAACCATATTATGACTATTCACAACAACCTCCAGCTGATGGACAATATGCTGATTCAAATGCTCCACCACCAGCTCAAGGTGCTGAATATGGTGAATATCCTCCACAAGATCCAAACGTTGCCGCTGGTGCTTATGGTACAGCTCCACCAGATGCTACAGGTGCTGTTCCAGGTGCTGCTGCTCCAGGCGCTTATCCTCCAACACATGAAGATCCAAACTTACAAGTTCCACCATCTGCTAATAATCCAACAGGCGCTGCTCCACCAGGTTCAGCTCAAGGTTCGACAACTATTAATGGTGATGTTAATCATAGTGCTTCTCCACATACAGTTCCAGGTGGTGCTGAAGTTCCACCAACTACAGATGGTCATTTTTCAGGTCAAAACACTGAACATGCTGCTAATTTGAATAATCAATTCCCTCCAGGTGCTGGTGTACCACCACTACCTCCAAGTGAAACACTTGTGGGATCAGTAGCTGACTCTATACCTCCAAATGTTCTGGATCAAACAGGATGTTGGGTTGATAGAAGATATCATGATGAAATTGCTAAGAAACTTGAAACATTAAAAGAAAATTTTAGTCAACTTTCCAAAAAATATAATGATGCTAAAGAACATAAAAAATTAACTAATGAAACTTTTGAAAGAAAATATAAAACATTACATGATAAATATAAAAAAGTTAATTTACAATTGAAAAAATCATCAGAAAGAGCATCTGTATCAATGACTGATGGGGAAGGTGAAGCTGTTCAAGTTGAAGCTGAAAATGTTCAATATAAAGATAAAGATGATGTTAAAGCTACTACGGTATTGAATGCTACAAAGAGTGAACGTGATTTCTATAAAAGTAGAACTGAAACTTTAAGTAGTGAAAATAAGAAACTTATTAGTGATAAAACTGATTCATTAAATAAAGTACAAAATTTGGAAGAAGAATTAAAAGAATTTAAAGAAAAATATATTGCTCTAGAAACAGAAAAAGAAGCATTAGAAGCTGAATTAGAATCTATTAATAATAATGAAGTTCCAAAATCACCAGTATTTGATGCTGATGGTGATAAAGAAATTGATGGTTTAGGTTCTGATAAATCATTAGCTGAAAGAAAAGAATATTATAAGAATAAATATTTGAAATTATTAGAAGAGAAAAACCAAGAACAACAAAACTTTTTACAAGTTAATAAAAAACTTTTGGAAAAATTTCTTTTCGTTGAAACTAAAGAAGGAAAATAATTTGATTTAAGAAAGAAGATCATGGTTTAATGGTCAAAGAATAATAGCTATGTTGAATATGTATAATACTGTGAGTCTAAGCTGACCACAATTGCAAGAATTTGTTTGTTTTTATGTATATTTATTATTCAAAATGTAGTTTTATTGAATCGTCTAAATTAGTTTATGTTAAGGAGCGCGAATATCCGCTTCTTCGAAATTCTTTAGATTTCGGACTTTTGTAGCAAATGGGCAAAAAAAAATATAGACGTAGTTGTTGCTTCCTCCTATTCTTTAATCTAAATTTGAATTATGTTTAGACAATCAATCTCTAAGCAATTAAACAATTCAATCAAGTCAAATACATTCATAAGAACAATGGCTTCATATAATCCAAAATCTTTACTTTTAAATCATACTTGTCTACGTGTCAAAGATCCAAAAATTTCAGTTGATTATTATACCAAAAATTATGGATTAAAATTAATTAGACATGAAAAAATGCCAGAAATGAAATTTGATTTATATTTCTTAGCTCAAGATGATTCTAAAGGTTCACAATTTGCTAAAGAAGGTGTCTTGGAATTAACTCATAATTATGGTACAGAAAATGATCCAAATTATAAAATTAACAATGGTAATGAAGAACCATATAGAGGATTTGGTCATATTTGTTTTTCAGTTGATAATATTGAAGCTGCAAGTGAAAAATTATTAAATAATGGTGTTGCTTTCAAGAAGAAATTAACTGATGGTAGACAAAAAAACATTGCATTTGCATTAGATCCTGATGGATATTGGGTTGAATTAATTGAGCACGGATCAGATAAAGTTCAAGGTGTTTCTAATACAAATAGTTATAAATTTAATCATACAATGATTAGAGTTAAAGATCCTGTTAAATCATTGAAATTTTATCGTGAAGTTTTAGGTATGAAATTATTATCAACAAGTGAACATGAATCAGCTAAATTTACATTATATTTCTTAGGTTATGAACATGATGATTCATTTAAAGAAAATTCATTATCAAGAGAAGAACAATCTAAAAGAGAAAGTGTCTTGGAATTAACTCATAATTGGGGGACAGAAAATGATTCTGATTTTAAATATCATAATGGTAACGAACAACCACAAGGTTATGGACATATTGGTATTGCTTTAGATAATCCAGGTGAATTTTGTAATGGAATTGATTCAAAATTTGGTGATGAATTAACTTGGGGTTTGAAATTTAATCAAGGTAAAATGAAAAATATTGCATTCATTAAAGATCCTGATAATTATGCAATTGAAATTTTACCAAAAAATTATACAGTTTAAGTTTAATATGATTAAAGAAAACATTTTATTTATTTTTCCAAGAATAGAACAACATACACGTAGAACATCATACTACACTAAACATTTCGTAAAATTCATTTATACCCATAAAAGCACAACCAACTATAAAACTCATTTTTCTTCTTGAAACTTCAACGATATAGAATTAGCACAATGTCTAGAGTCAGTAGGAGTATCATAACCTTCCCCTTTGAAAACATGACCAATATGACCACCACATTTAGCACAAGTCATTTCAGTTCTTGTCATACCAAAACTTTCATCAGTATGATAATTTAAAGCACCAGGTAAAGCTTCATAAAAAGCAGGCCAACCACAATGAGCATCAAATTTTGTTGAAGATTTATATAATGGGTTTTCACAACCTGCACAGTTATATATCCCATTTAATTTGTTTTTAAGGTATTCACCTGTACCTGGTCTTTCTGTACCTTTTAATCTTAAGATTTGATATTGCTCTGGAGATAAAATAGCTTTCCATTCTTCAGATGATTTTGTGATTGGTAATTTGGACATTTTATGTAATAATCTGAATCCTTGTCTCATATATGGGTATTATTCAGTGATTGCAATTCAAACAATTGAAAGTTGAAAGTGATTGAAATGGTTTGTAATTCAAGTATTATAAATTATGTCCTAATATAAGCTCCGATAATCGATTCCACAGTGGTGTACGGATGTGATATTTTCTTTTGTACTGGTAAAAATCTCGAAACTCTACTTGAAAGAGGACTTTGATTTGAAGAAGAGTTGATTAATTTCAAGGGTATTTGGAGTTGTTGATCACAAAGGTCAAGCTGTTGATAGACTTAATAAAGAAGACAAGATGAGTGAAGTGAAAGATACAAAACAATTCAGTGATTTTCCAGTAAGTTAAGCCCATAATCCATAATCCATAGTGAATATAATCTAACAATTCAAGACAACCATGAGTTGTACAGAAGCTTTTGATCAATTAGTTGCCTGTTATTCCCTTGGAGGACAAGTCAGAAATTATTATAGATACGGTGAACTAAGTGATTGTATACCACAATTTGATAAATTCAAGTTTTGTATTTTCAATACAGATCCAATAAAGATTCAACAATTTTATAAAGAAGCTTTAGATCAAAAGAAAAATCAAGGTAGTAGTGAAGATATATGGGAACTTAGAAATAAGGATTAGAGATAGAAATATAGAGTGTTTGTAAATAGTTTGACAGAATGGTTTTCTGTGGTAATAAATTGTAATGAGGTTATGAGAATTTGATGGACGTAGATTAACAAAGATATGCGCAGTAAAAGAATTCTTCGAGATTTACAAAATGAAACAGAACAAGAAGATCAGGATTTAAAACAGAATCAAATTTTCAAGTGATACTTCGATTAATCTCTTGTAAAACTCAATAAAAATCAGTTATAACTTCACAAAAATCTCAAATTGTCTAAATTCTTTTCCAAAGGCACACAATATTTCGCCAGGTAAACATTTTCTCCGGAATTAAAATATAAAGAAATTGGTGAAACATCAGCAATTAACACAACTCGTGAAACCATCCAATTTTACAAAAGAGGAAAGTACTTTAAGTAAACATAATGTCTGAAGAAGAATCCACAATAATATCATCAAGACAATCACAACTATTCCAACATCAAACCAAATCTTTTATTGAATGGGGGTTATCAGATATAGAATCTTGGTTATCAAGTTTAAGTTTTAATGAAACAATAATTGAAAATTTTATATCAAATAATATTACAGGTGATTTATTACCATATTTAAAAGATGAACATTTTGAAGAAATGGAAATCCCAATAAAGGATAAAATAAAATTAAAAATTAATATAAATAAATTATTAAAATCACAAAATTATTTAGATCCAAATTCAATTGATTCAATAAAATTAATTTTAACAAATATAAATAATCTAATTCAATCAAATTTAGATCATACTTCAAGACAATTAAACGATGAATTATACAAAATAAGAGATGATTTCACTAAATTAAATCAAAAACCATTACCAACCCCTGATAAAAATCCATCATCACCTTTTAATTTAACAAGTCCAACAAAGACAAATTCAACATATACAGGAAATAATTCACCAAATGAAGTATATCAATCTCTATCAAGAAAACATAGTGAAAATAAACATTATAAGTCAAATAGATCTTCAACTTTATTAGCTGCTCATAATAATTATAATTCAAATTCTTCATTAAATTCAATAAATTCTCCAACTTCTTCCAATTCACAACAACAAACTTTACAATCTTTAGGATCATCCACAGGGACAGGGACAGGACCAGCAAAACCAGTATCAGAACCTTTAAAACAATTAAGAGCATCAACAGATGATCCATGTTCCAAAATTTTACAATCAGCAATGAAGAGACATAAATTAAATGATGATTGGAGAAATTATGCTTTAGTTATTTGTTATGGAGATCAAGAACGTATAATGGGATTAGATGAAAAACCTGTTCAAATTTTTAAAGAATTAAGAGAGAATGGTAAACATCCTGCTATTATGTTGAGACAAAAGGCTGATTTTAGTGTTGATCCTAGTAAAAAGATTAGTGAGACTCCTGGTGGGAAGTTATAGAGTGTGTACTAGTTTATTGAGTTTATTATAGGTTTGTAATTGTATACTACATGGATTGATTCGATAAATAACATTATTTTTTAGTTAGTTTTAGTAGACAAAGAACACAAAATATTATATAGGGTTAAACAATCATAATTCATCATGAGTAATATCAGTTTCTTTTGAAGCAGCAGTTTCTTCACTTTCTTTAACAGGTATAACATCAGCTTCTAAAGAATCAATATCAACTTTAAATGAACCACTTTCTTTAATAAATGAAGCTAAAGATTCTAAATCTCTACCACCTTGATGAACAATTGGATTAGATTTATCATTAGCTGGATATAAGATTAAAGTTGGATAACCTGAAATATCAACATCAACATCATTTAAAGTTGCATCAACATTTGCAATTATAACTTTATCTTTAGCTTCACTTGAAGATTGGAATTTATCAGCTAATTCTTCATAAATTGGAGCTAATCTTTTACAATGACCACACCATGGAGCATAATATTTAACCAAGACATCTTTTGTTTCATCTTTAACAATTTGATCATGAGTTTTACCAACAATTTTCAAAACTGAAGTTTCTTGTTTTGTTGGAATTTCTTCAGATTTAACTTTTGGTTCTAATTTACCACTTGAATAATTTTGGATGAATTTTGGTAAAGTCTTGATTGATAATGAATTATCTTGTGGGAAACCAAATTTTTTATTTGATGAAATATCATGAATAACAAATAATGGGAAATCTTGATCCATATTTAAATTTTCAGCATGACGACCATATTTTGAAGCATCAAGACCAACAAAATTAATTTTACCTCTTTGTTCTTTAGCAATTTTTTCAATAGTTGATTTCCATTCTTCTCTTTCTTCTGGAGTATTATAAAATAAATAAGCTAATGGTAAATTTGAAGTCATATAAGATTGATAAGTTGAACCATCTAATTCACCAAATAATGGTTTAGTTTCAACACTTAACCAATCAACTAAATTTTCATAAGATTCATCACCTTTATAAATAACTGGATCTTTTGTATCAGGTAAAAATACTAAAAATTTATCTTTACCATATTTCTTGGTATAATCTTTATTTGAAGTTTGAACAAATGAAAATTCATCTCTATGTAATGCAGACAATTTATAAAAAGTTTCATTTTGTTTTGAACCAGTTTCCACAATAACAGCAGCAGAGGCTTCAGAAATAAAATCATCAATATCTGAAGTTTCTTCTAATAATGAAACTGGAGGTAATGATTGTTTAATCATATAATCAACAATACCATCAGCAGATCTTGGACCTTCATAATCACTTGGATCAGATTCACCTCTAAAGACTTTTAAAGTTGGATAACCTCTAATACCATGTTCTTGACATAATTCTTGTTCTTCAGTACAATCAATTTGAGCTAATTGAATATTTTTTGAATCAAGAATATCAGCAGCTTTAGCAAAATTTGGACCAAGAGCTTTACAATGACCACACCATGGAGCAAAGAATTCAGCTAAGACTAAAGGATTTTCATTAATATATTTTGAAAAAGTTTCTTGAGTTAATTTAACAACAGCAGAATCTGGTGAAGCGATTGCATCTTCTTCAGCGGCAGCATTTGTTAAAGAGACAATGGCTAAAAGAGAGGATAAAGTTTTCAAGTTCAAAGCGGATAGTAATCTCATTGTATATGAATTGTATATGGATTGATTGAACCTTTTCTAAATTTGATTAGTTTGGATGGCAAATTGACGGTTTAAATGTTTGAATGTTTTCAGATCGTTTTTTGATTTTTTAGGTGTTTAAAAGAAAATTGACACGTATCACAAAATTCGCGGGTTTAAAAACGTTACGTGGCACATTTCAGTTTTTTTAGTAAGCGAAGAATTTTGATTTGTAATTTGAATGAATTTGTTTTTGTTCGAAGTTATTTGATTTGATTTATTGTGATGATGATGTTGGTGTTGGTGGTGGTGTTGTTCTGATTCAGTGGTTGTTGTTGTTGTGTTTCTTCAATTCAGATATCGGATGTATTATATCTAGACGCGTTAACGGTTATACTCAATTAGATCCATCATCCAATGAACACTTGATCTGACTGAATTTTAGACAATTGAAATACCAACGCACACGTCACACAGTACACTGTTCATCAACCATCAACCACTGACCAATGATATCAATCAATCAATATCATTAATCAATTTACTAGTGATAATACGCTTACCTGAGCATGACATAAGCGGAGTTACTCGGATGCGCGCATAGAGAAAACAATTTTATTAAGAATTGACGAAGATCTATAGATAACAATAAACTTCACACATATATTATATTCATATTAAGACCATAATGAAACAATCACTAATCACACTAGCAAAAGCTGTTAGACCACGTCGTCCAGAAAGACCAAATCAAGTTTTATTACCACCAGTTACATTATATAGAAAAATTCTTAGAGCTCATAAATTATTACCAAAAGAACAAAGAGAATTAGGTGATTTATATGTTAAAGATGAATTTAAAGCTCATAAATCTACGGATAATCCATTATATATCGTTGGATTCTTGACAAGTTGGCAAGAATATTTACAATTGATTACAAATGGGAAATGGAAAGAAAGTAGTTTAACTAATGAACAATTAACTAAAATGTCTCCAGATCAAGTTAATCAAGTGAGTATAATAAAAACATAGAGGAAAGAGACAATATACTAACTTGACATTTAGTTGTATGAATTAATGAAGGAAACTCAACGTTATTATCAAGGGGAAGAAGAAGAAGATTAATTAAATTATAAATATTCTGTATATAGAAAGTCATGATTAATATAATATTAGAGAGTGAGATTAAGTTATGTAGATCTAACGTTTAAACTTAACCAAAACACACACTTAGTACCACCTTGAACGCATTATTCAATCATTTGTATCCCAAAAAGCATTAACTTCAACAGAAATCAGTAAAATTCAAACTTCTCCATACTTTAAATATGATTCATGCTATACTCAATAAATTCAAAAATGGTGTTTGGATGTTATTTTTTTTCGCGAATATTGTAAAAATTTAGAGACGCATATCAAAATTAACACAGCTCATCGAAAGCCTTTTCTTGATTTAACGAGTCTTATATTAATCTATCATCTTGATCAAAGCTTTATTACTTTAGATATAGAAGAAGGTTAAAGATGACCACAGTTGAAGATATAAAAGGATTTTTAGTGACTCCTATCACTTTACAACCATCAAAACATTATAAAGAAGAAGAAATTAAACATTATATATATATAAAAAAACATCAATCACAAAATAACAAAGAATTATCTGAAAGATCATTATTCTTAATCAATCCACCAATAAATTCAAATTTATTTAATGTTAGAAATTTCTTTAAAACCATATCAAAAGAAAGTTTAATTGAGAATTTTTTAATTAATAATGAAAATTTAGATTATGAAATAAATTTAACAAAATTAACAACAGATCTTTATGATCAAGATGAGAACCAAGACCAGGAGGATATAAAACTACCGAATGGAACTGGTCTCGTGGTGTTTGTTGATAAATCAGCTGCAAACCTAGCTTTTACCAAATTGAAAAAATATGTTAAAAATTTAACAAAAAATGAAAGATCATTATATCAATGGAATTTTAATGAATTAGAACCTGCTTCAATAAGGTTTATAAATTCTTATAAAAAGGATATGTTATCAATCCCAGAAACTTCGAAAGCAGTTTCTCTCGCCTTGGAAGAATTTGAAAAACGTGAAGCAGCATCATTAGAACAATTACAAGACCTAAAAGAAACAGTAGATGAAGATGGTTTTACATTAGTTGTTGGTAAGAATCGTAAAACCAAGAAAGGGATCTTGGAAAATATTGATAATGTTAATAAATTTACTCAAGAATCTGATGATAAAAAGAAGGAAAGAAAAGAAAAACAAGATTTTTATAGATTTCAAATTAGAGATCGTAAAAAAATGGAGATGAATGAATTGTTGAAGAAGTTTAGGGAGGATACTGAACGTATTAAAGAATTGAAACATAAGAAAAGATTTAGACCTTATTAAGGGGGTTTACATTTGCATTATATACATAGTTTCATAATTTAAAAAAAGTCATTTAATTTTCTAATACAATGTAGTTATATAGATGATCTTCTAATGCAATGTAGTTATATATAGAGGTATGAAGAATCTTATTTCTTTGGAGGTGGTGGTAATGAATTTTCATTATCATTTGGATATTTACCTTGATTATCTAAAATTCTTGATTTTTCACCTTCAGTTGATAAATAATCCAACATTTCTGAATTTATTTTATTTGATTTTTTTTTTCTTCCATGAATTGGTGGAGGTCCGGTTGTTGTAGTTGTTGAACTTAAACTTGAAGAAGTTGGAGGAGGTGGTGGACTTGCATTAGTTGGAGGATTTGATAAATTTGAAGGTATGAAAGTTTGTTGTTGAAAAGTTTCATTTGGTAATGGAGTTGAAGCAGGTGAAAAATTTGGAGTATGATTTGGAGTTAAAGAATCATCAAATAATATAGAACCAGGTTCAACATTATCAATAACAGGAGGTAATCTATGTAAAAACCCATAACCAACACCAGCACCTAAAAGACCTTGACCACCCCAATTTTCAAAAGGTGTTATATTTACAGGTCTAACTATATTATAATCATGATTATAAACATATAAGATTAAAGATTCATTTTTCTTTGAAGTGATTAATCGACCTAATAAATCTTCTCCTCCGGTGGCTAATAAACCATCTTGTGCACCAATTATATAATCTGAATGTTCAATTAAACCTGCTCTTTCAGCTGGTGAATTTGGATGGATTTCCAAGATATGATAAACAAAAGTTGAAGTTATTAATGGGGTCCATTGGATTTGGAAACCTAATTTTTGGAATTGTTGTTGTTGTATAAAATTTGGATTTGATTCATTAATTGGAACTTCATCTAAATTATTGGAATCTAATTCATTAATATCTAATTCAATGTTTTTCAAAACACCACCTTTTGCATTCCAAATTTCTAATATTATAGATCTTGATTTATTATTTGAAATTTCTTGAATAAAATAATCATAAACTGGGATTAATTGTAAACTTTCATTATAATTAGTCGGTATTTCATGACCATTTATACCAATGATATAATCAAACCAACTTTCTAAACCAGCTTTTGAAGCTAGGGAATCAGGTTTAACATTTATGATTCTTAAACCTAATTTATTTGATTTTGTATTTGAGAAATAAGCATCATTTTGTAAGATTGATTCATCATTAGCACCACCACCTATGATTGTTTCAGCTGATTGTTCAATTGATTTGACAAATTTCTGAGCGAATGCAAACATATTGTGTGTTATTGTTATGAATTGTTATAAAAGTGGTTATAAATCACTTTCACTATAATATCACTGTTTCGGTTTCTTCAATGTTGTCAAATTGAAATCAAATCGATCAAATTGGAAGTGATTATGTAATGTTGACATAATACAAAATACATTCGCGAGTAGTGGTCATAAATTCTCAGAACAATACAAAGAAGAAGACAAACAGGAACTGAAAACAAGAGTGAATTATGGATTATTGTGTGATATGATACCTGAGTATATTAATCAGATGCTATTGAGTAATAGAAACAACCATGGTATAATATTGTGATCCTAGTGTTAACTATCTATTACTTAATGATTATCCCAAAGTTCAAAGCTCATCAAGTACTAACCGTTACCGTTTACCGTTAGAACAATGTACTCGGACACCTGATAATTAAACAATGGATATAATATTGATAGAAGGCTTTAATACTTTAATAATATACACACATCACACGATATCAGAGTCATTCTGTATACTCCAGAATAAGATGCATCAATTAATTAACTCATGACTGCCTACAATCGTGGGGTGGTTCTATAGTATTCTAGTATTCCAAGTCAATAATCTTCTCTAATTAATCAGTGATCACCCCAGAATCTCATGATTATTCTCTGCTTCTCTGTTCATTTCTGTCTAGTTCTCAGTGTCCCTCTAGGCTCTCCCTAGCGTACCACCTGCCACCCCAGACTCAAACTTTTCTTTGTTCCTGTCTATGCGTCGATGGCTCCCGTTGGAACTTGGAACATCACCAGGTGTCTTACTCAGATGATTACAATAGAACAGAACAACAACGGACACCTAAAAGTATAGTAAATACAATCAATCCAAAACAATCATTAGCCACTCCATCACTATTATTCTCATAATATTCTGAGAAGTTTGAATTCCTTTTAAAATTCTCTTTTTAGCGTTGTTATTTGATTAAATTTCCAGGCTTTTTGTTTCGGACAGAAAATCGTTGAGTTTTTAGCAAAAAAGTGTATATAAACTTGAAAAATCTCAGTTCATTTCTTCTTTCAATTAAGTGAGATAATCACATATAAAAACATAAACACATAAATAACAATATGACTCAAGTTACATTACAATCTGAAGTTGAAAAATTAGTTAAAGAATTCACAATTGATGAATCTACTCTCAAAGTTCTTACTGAATATTTTATTGAAAGTATTGAAGCTGGTTTAGGTCATTCAAGTGATGAACATTCAAAATCTTTACCAATGATTCCAACTTTTGTTACAAAAGTTCCAAATGGTAGAGAACATGGTACTTATTTAGCTGCTGATTTAGGTGGTACAAATTTTAGAGTTTGTTCTGTTGATTTAAGAGGTGATTCAACTTTCCAATTGGAACAATCCAAGGCAAAAATTCCTGAAGATTTATTAGATGCTGAAACTTCTTCTGAATTATTTAGTTATTTAGCTAAAAAAGTTAAACAATTTGTTGAAAGACATCATGCTGATCGTTTATCAACTGATGAAGATAAACATTTAAAATTAGGTTTTACTTTTAGTTATCCTGTTAATCAAACTGCTTTAGGTAAAGGTACTCTTATTAGATGGACAAAAGGTTTCAAGATTCAAGATACCGTTGGTAAAGATGTTGTTGAATTATTACAAATTGAATTAGACAAGCAACAAGTCCCAGTTAAAGTTGTTGCATTGGCTAATGATACTGTTGGTACTTTATTATCTCATGCTTATGCATCAGGTGCTTCACCAAGTGGTAAACAAGGTGATTCAGTTATTGGTGCAATTTTCGGTACAGGTACAAATGGATGTTATTTAGAACCAATTGATGAAATTAAGAAATTGGATCCAAAAATTGCAGAAGAATTGAAAAATAAAGGTGAAACTCATATGGTTGTTAATACTGAATGGGGTTCATTTGATAATGATTTAAAACATTTACCAAATTCTATATATGATGAAAGAATTGATAAAATCTCATCAAATCCAGGTTATCATATGTTTGAAAAAAGAGTTTCAGGTATGTTTATGGGTGAAATCTTAAGACAAGTTTTGGTTGAATTACATTCAAAAGGTGTTATTTTCACACAATATCCAAATTATGAAAGATTACCACATAGATTAAGAACTGCATTTGAATTAGATTCAGAAGTTTTATCACATATTGAAATTGATGATTCAACAAATTTAAAAGAAACTGAATTATCGCTATTACAATCATTAAGATTACCAACCATTAAAGAGGAACGTATTGCAATTCAATCCATAGTTCGTGCAATTTCAAGAAGATCTGCTTATTTAGCTGCAGTTCCATTAGCTGCTATTTTAATTAGAACTAAAGCATTAGAAGGTTATCATAAAGAAGTTGAAATTGGTGTTGATGGTTCGGTTGTTGAATATTATCCAGGTTTTAGATCAATGATTAGACATGCTTTAGCCTTATCTCCATTAGGACCAGATGGTGAAAGAAAAGTTCATATTCAAATTAGTAAAGACGGTTCTGGTGTTGGTGCTGCTTTAAGTGTTCAAAGTAGTACTTGATCCACCTTGTTTTAGTTTGTATAATGATGCGATGTTTTGTATTATGAGTTTTGTCTTTGTAGTGTTTTGTACTCTTTTAAATGATTTAGTTGTTTTCCTTTGTTGTGATTACCGATTTCATTATCAAAATTGAAAAAGTGTCAAAATTTATGGGGGCAATTTAATACTTTTATACAACATCAACAGACAACAGATTAATACTAGACAAGGTGATTTCAAGAGATCCAAACAAGCATAGACATCCAGAAGGAACTGAGGGAACAGAGGAGAACACTAAGAAAAGACGGCTGAATATGGCTCCTGTACACGATTTGTTTGAGAATGGTGGTGGTAATGGTGGTGCTGGTAATGTGAACAACCAGGTAAATACTGAATGTATTGATAAAGCATATCCTGGTATTGATAAGAATGAATTAACAAGATTAATTATTCAATCATTAAGTGATTTAGGTTATAATAGATCATCTCAATTATTAAAAACTGAAAGTGGATTAGAATTAGATTCTCCAATTATAAATAATTTCATTGCTTATATTAAGAATGGTGAATTTAACCAGGCTGAAATGCTAATTGATAATCTGAATTTAATCGATTCATCATTAGAAGTTAAAACTAAGATACAATTCTTAATAAAAAGACAAAGGTTCCTAGAACATTTATATAATGATGAAAATACAACAATACCTTTAAGAATCTTGAGAAATGAAATGAATTCATTATCTTCAACTCAGGATATAAGATCATTAACTGCATTATTAATGAATAAACAATCTGAACATTTACAATTATCAAATGGTTGGTTGAAAAATATTGAAAATTCAAGAGAATTTTTATTAAATGAAATTTCAAAATTTATAAACCCAAATGAAATGATTCCAAAATATAGATTATTTGAATTATTAAAACAATCTATTGAATATCAAAAATCAATGAATCTTTATCAATTCAATAATAATGATAGAAAAATTTCTCTTTATGAAGATTTAAAATCTGATAAAACTTTGTTTCCTGATAGTATAGTTAAAACTTTAACTGATCATAAAAATGAAGTTTGGTATGTTCAATTTAGTCATGATGGTTCCAAACTTGTTTCCACCTCGGCAGATCACCATGTTAATGTTTATGATGTTGAACAAGATTTTAAAAAAAAATTCACATTAAAAGGTCATGAAAAACAAGTTTTATATGCAAGTTTTAGTCATGATGATAAAAAATTATTAACTTGTAGTATTGAACCAAAAGCAAGGATTTGGAATTTAGAAACTGGGGAATTAGAAAGAATCATTACATTATCAAGTGAATCAAGAATTTGGTGTGGTGATTGGTATCCAAATGGTGAATGTTTTGTCCTTGGGTCTCCAGATAAAGAAGTTGTTTTATATAATGCTCATACTGGTGAACAATTATATAAATGGGGTGATAGTACAAATGGACCAATTATAAATGATTTAAAAATTTCTCAAGATTATAAATTAATTGCAGCAACTTATGATAATAATATAGAAGTTTGGGATTTAGATTCAAAATCTAAATTAACAACATTAGATATTGGAGAAAAAATTACAAGTTTAACCATATCCAACAAAAATCCAAATCATCTATTAATAAATGTAAGTCCAAATGAATTACAAATTTGGAATTGGTGTAAAAACCTATTATTAACAAAATTTGTTGGTCATAGACAAGAAAATTATATTATAAGATCATGTTTTGGTTTCAATGAAGATGTTGTTTGTTCAGGTAGTGAAGATGGCCGAGTCTTTATTTGGAATAAAGAATTTGGTGCCCTGTTAGGTGCTTTTGATGCTCATAATGGGAATGCAAATTGTGTTGCATGGAACCCCAAATATAAATCAATGTTTGCTACATGTGGTGATGATTTTTTGATTAGAATTTGGGGGCCTTCAAGGTCAAAGAAGAATGTTTAATGATGTATATGTTTTAGCTACAATGAATGTCAATGAAATATAACAAAATGTACTGATATTTGATAAATTATATATAAAACCAAAAGACTAGTGTTTTTATTCCTGAGATAAACCTGATAAACCTTCATCATCAACATGTTCTAAAGTTCTAGCTTCATTCTTACCCCTTTCAACATCCAACAAAGAATAAACAGGTATAGCTAAAACCAATAACAAAAATAAAAAATAAAAAGTATACCTAATATTATGAGTTCTATCAGTAATTAAAGCAGTTATAGTAGGTCCTATTATAGAACTACCTTTATCAGTCACGGAAAATAAACTGAAAAAAGTAGATTCTTTACCCTTTGGAATTAATAAACTGAATAATGATCTACTTATAGTTGCTAACCCACCAAGAGCAAATCCATACCATATAGCTAATAAATACATTTCAAAATCATGTTTTAATCCAATTAATTTGAAATAAAATCCCATGATACCATATAATGGAATTAATGAAGCCCAAATAATTATATAAATTAATGAAATTTTTGGTGTTACTTGGAAACGTGATTGTAATTGTGGTACAATTATTGAACCACCTATAGCGAAAATAACTGATAAAATACCAACAATGACTAATTTTGGTGTTGACATTTGTAATTCAGATCTTGCAAATAAAATAGCTGCTGAATTCATTGTTGTTACCGAGTCTGATACAATAAACCAACCAAGGAGATATATTGCAACATCTTTTAATTGAGATGCATGTTTTATAGAGATGAATAAAGTTTTCCAACCATATTTTATGTATTGTATTAGGATGTTTTGATCTTTATTTATGATTAATTGAGGGCCTGGTCTTGATTTAAGTAAAAAAATTAATGGAATTTGGAAAAATAACCACCAAATCCCAACAAAGAAAATTGCATATTGAATTGATTTTGTTTTGGAACCTGTTTTGATAACTATAAACATTGATAAGATTTGAACAATTAATGCAGATATATAACCAGATGCTGCACCCATCCCACTAATTTTTGTAATTAAATTCCCCTTAACTAAAGTATCATCTTTATTAGCAGAAATAGTATCATTTGGAGGATGATCATTATCTGCTTCATTAGTTTCAAATTGTTCAACATCTTTATGATTTGCAACCAAGATTGGTAAGAATGAATTCCCACAAACATTAACAGCACCAAAACAACTATTAGCCACAATTGCCAAAAATGAAGCTATATAATAACGAGAACTTGTTATATAAATGTATGAAATTGTAGCTAATGCTCCAACAAATCCAAAAGTTATAAGTAATTGCTTTCTATAATGACCACGATCTGCAGCACCAGACATTGAAATGACAACTAAAGTTTGTATAAACACTGAGAATGAAAAAGTATATAATGCAAATGATGAAGTATCAATATATCCACCTAAAACATAAACAACACATTTAACTTGTTCTTCTGTAGTTGTAGCACCTGAAGATCCATCATGATCCCTTGTGAATAATTTTGAAACAGGATCACCTAATCCAGGTGAGGTCCCATTCCCTGGAGGTGGTAATATTGGGGGTACTATTGGTGAAGATGATAAACAAGGTATTAGATGATTATCCAATCTTACACCATTTTCTCTTGCAAATTGTTCTAATAACAAGGGGACATATGTAGAAACAGCAGAAACGATGAAAGGTTCAGCAGCCCATGAGTATAAACACCAACCAAATATTTCTGTTTTCGTTGTATAGCCTTCATTGGAATTTGGTAATATTAGTGATTCATCTGCTGTTTCGATATTGTTTGATAAGAATTGTTCTGATTGTTCTTGATTTGAAGAATGTGATGATGAGGATAGTCTAACTCTGTTATTACCAGAGATTTTGGACCATATGTCCTTGATGTGGTCACTCATTGTGGAACCCTTGTGAAATCGCTTGTATATAGTCAGCCCAGTAACAGGTAATAAGAACAAACAGCCCAAGTCAAAAACACTTCCCTTTAAATGAGTCTGTCTTGATATCGTTCTTTGTTAAACAGATAATACATTTAAATCGTGGGTTCTATTGATATTACGTAATGATAAGGTAATCAGAATTAAATAATCAAGGGCTTCAAACCATTTCGGGATTCGGTAACTCGGTTCAAAATTTGATTTTTATTTTTTTGTTTCTCCATAAAACTAAAAAAATGACACTTTTTTCAATGTTTTGAAGGGTTTTGAAGGGTTCTCTTATAAACTAATGACTGGTTTTGGTTGAATTGACATTTTGTAATTAGTTAGTTGAGTGGTAATAATGAGCTTAGATATAGATGCTCTCATCAAAAACCCAGCATACAGGGAACTATTCCAAATCATCAAATCCATGAGAAATGGTGCTGTTTATGGTGGTCGTTTAAGGTTTGCACATTCATTAGTTATTCAATTATTATTCAGAAGAACTGTTCCATTAGACAAGAGATTAAAATTAGTTTTCAAACAATCCAAAGATCATGGATTGATCTTGGCTTCATTTGCTTTGGTTTATAAAGTGTTGATGATTGCATTGAAACAGATTAATGGTGGTGCTCCAATAAATGAATTCATATCTGGATTCATAAGTGCAATGTTAGTCTATGGTAATAGAACCACGGTTTTCAATCATTCAATAGCTCATCAAATTACACTTTATTGTTCTGCTAGAGTTCTCTTAGGCTTGGGGAAAATGTTGGCTTATAAAATTGCTAAAACTCTTAAAGAAGAGAAGATATTTAAAGATAAAAAGTTAATTCGTGGTAATATTCAAACAAATACTTGGACTTTATTTGCAAGTGTATCATGGGGGCTTGTTATGTATTTACATCGTTATTATCCTTCTTTCTTACAACATGGATTGGAATCAAGTATGGTTTATATTTATGATGATTTTAAATGGAATGATTTGAGATCTTTATTAGGGTATTGATTAATACATTTAATGATTTAATGATGAACTTATATACCGCCATGACCTTATTTATTATTCCCCTATTTATACTTTGTACCATTATCAATAATATGATTTAGAGTTTTAATTCAATGTATTTTGAGCGGTTAAACACTACACCCTTCATTATTTATATATTGGCCTCTTATTTATATTCATCCTAATAACACAATTAGAATATTCTATGTACATAAATAAACAATGATAAATTTTGTTTGCAAAAAAAAAAATGAAAAATCAATATAATGATAAAATTGTTTAATGAAAATATGAATTAAAAGAGTACTTGATTGAATAGTTCTTTAATTCTTTGTTTTTTTGATTTTTTTTTATATAATAATATTTTTGTTGATTAATAAATGATATGGATTTAAACCATGAAATACTTGTATTTTTTTTTGGTTTTTTAATGATTTTTTTTATTGGATATAATGACGATGATTCTTTAATTCATAAAGCATAACTTATTCAATCAAACTAGTAAAACAATTGTTTGATTGAATTAAAAAAGTTGAAAAGTTTTTAATTTGTTATTTTTATTTTTTCTTATGATTAAAATTATAATTCCTTTGAGATATGCAATCAAAAACTAGGAGGAAACCAAAAACAACACCTAAAAACTTGAGAATGATAATATTTAATGAAAAGAAACATTAATAAACTTTATAATGATACACAAAAACACACAATGAGATTTGAAAGAAACTTATTAAGCTTCAACAGGTTCAGCGGTAGTTTCCTTTGAAGTTTCTTCTTCTTTATTTTCTTCATTTGTTTCAGAAGTTTCAACATCTTTAACAATTGGTTCAATAACATTCAATAAAGGAGTTTCATCTAAACCTCTTGGATCTCTATGATCAGTAGGTAAAACCCAAGTTTCAAAATTTTCTTTAACTCTAACTTTCAATGTCTTTGATTCACCAAATTCAGCTAATTCTAATAATTCACCATTTAATTCATCAATAGCTCTTCTAACTAATTGGAAATCACCAGCACTCAAGACATTCATTCTATAAAAACTTGAAATAACAGTTAATTCTAACCAACCTTCATTATTCATTTGTTTTCTTAAAAAGATATCTTTTAATAAATTTTCAATTGAAAAATAATATTCAATTTGTTTTATTAATGATAATAATGGTTCTGAACTCTTGTTTAAATGTGCAACATTAGTACGACGATTATTATAAAAATAATTGTTTTGACGATATTGTCCATTATTATTATTATTAAACCCATTGTTTTGATATTTATTAAATCTTCTATTATTATATGGACGGAATTGACGTTGACCATTTGTTGGTAATGGGTATGGATTTTGAGCAATTGGGAATGGTTGGAATGGGATGAATGCTTGTTGATGTTGATTATATTGGTTATTGTTTTGATAACGGTTATTATGATGTTGATTATGATGTTGATGTTGGTTATAATGGTTATTAGATTGATGATTATTACTTTGATGTTGTGTATTGTTATTATTGTGTGATTTTTCAATTGATGGTGATGTAGATGATGCTTGAGTTGATGTAGTTGATTCTTGTTTAGGTTGTTCTGATTCTTCAGATTTTGTTGATGATTCTTTTGATTCTTCATTCTTCAATTCTGGTTTAGCTGGTAATTCTTTTGATTCAGTGACAGTTGATGTGGTACCATTTGAAGTTGGACGTTTTTCAGTCTTATTTTTTCTCTTTTTAGCATCATTATGTGCTTGTTTATTAGTATTACTATTATTTAAAACATTATTGTTTTTATTAGAATTTCTTTTTTGACCATTTGATTTTTTGGAACCTGGAGTTGGTAAAACAACTGAAGCTTTAAAAGGAATCCATTTTTCTTTTGAAGATTTAACTTGATTAATTTTTTTTGGTGTATTACCATTTGATGATGTTAATTGAGAATCTAATGGTGATGGCCAATGTTTAGAATCAACAGAACTAACATTTGAATTAGATCTTGATGAAGATGCAGAACCCCAAGCACTAACACTTGGAACTGGAGCTGGAGCTAAATTTACTTCTTTTGGTTTTTTTTCAGCTTTTGGTGAAGGATTTGGTGAAGGTAATTGATTTTGTGTTTTGGATTCTTCTTCATTTGTTTCAACTTCAATTGGTTCTGGAGTTGATTCAACTTGTTCTGATTTAGAAACAGATTCTTGAACAATTGATTCTTGAGCAATTGGTGCTGGAGTGGTAGCTGTACCAGAGGAAACAACGTTAGCGTATGACATCTTGAATTTTTGTTCTTAATACTAGTGATTCAAAAAAAGACAAAATAAAGTTATTGATGAGATCTGAATGTATTGTTAACTTTCTTTAGTCCAAATATCTAAACGAATGATCTATGGATTTGACAAATTGCACAAAGGATATATGGAAATTATAAGAATGATTAAATATCCTTCTCTTTATAACCGATGAATATATGTGATGAGTATTAAATGTATATAAATCTCTATATCTGATTTCAAAAATTCTTAGATACTCCTTCTATTGATGAATGATCGAGGGAATAATCTATGATAGTTGAAAAATAACAAAAGATGTATAACAATTTGAATCAAATTTGAGTTAATATTATAACTTTTTGGTAGTCTTTGAAACTTTTTTTTAGTTCAAAACTTATTTAAAATCTGTTCGAAAAAGTGAAAAATTACCAAAGAAAAAAAAAATGTTTGCAGAAAAAATTAACAGTGGTGTTGCGCGAATCGGAAAAATCGTTTAATAGGCGAGTTTTATACAGGGAAGAGAAGGAGGAGATAGAGAGGGAAAGTAGAAGAAAGGGATATTATTTAAGGGGATTGAATAATAATGATATGTTCTTTGAATACATCTGGTTATCTTCCTTTTTTTCTCAGTTCAATTGCACAATTTTTCGCCCTGGAAATTCATTGAAATTCAAATTTTGTGCCAATTTTGCACTAATAAAAAAATTTTCTTTGGTTCACTTGGTGTACGGATGTCAGGAAGGAAAAGCGTTGACGAGTATAATTGATGTTGGTTATAGTGGTTTTAGAAGGTAAATTACGCGTATTATGTGGTGTATAGTGTGTATTTACGCGTTTTGTAGTGCTGTTATTGTTGTTGAGTGTGATATTTGGCTATATTGTAGCAAAATTCCAAGGATTATAAGTTGAAAATTGGATATGATGAGACATATTGATCAATGACGTAGATGATATAAAGTACAACTATCTAAGTATTTCTTCTTTAAGCTGAAACTTGGTGACTATAGTAGGCATATATACCAGTGTGCCTTGTTATTACTTCGATCTTAGTTCCAATGTTCAACTATAATTTATCTAGATTTGATCTTTAGTTATTGTTGATTTAGAATATGAGGTTCAAATTTCGAGAAAATGTGAAAAATCATGATGTTACCATGTTACCATTGTTTCAACTTTCAGCTTTAAGAACTAGATACCAAATCATAACCAACTTCAAGATATTACAGAGGTCCCACATATATTCTTGATGAATATCATACGGCATAGTTTCAAACTCAAGTCAGTCGATACTATTAACAAAGTTTCATCAAGATGGTTTAATCATACATCTATATTACCATCTCAAAGGAAAATGAGTTTAGTTGATGTCCTAACAAAGCCAGAGAGAAATGGTCATGCTTTAGAACATAGAGATTGGATAGGTCAAGGGAGATCGAAAACTAACTCTTTCAAAAGGTATCGTTCTAAAATAATCAATGGCAGAAAATTGATAATTGAAATGGAATCATCCAGTGAAAACGGAACATTAGTTGAATATGAAGAATTTGAAAATTACTCTCAAGTAAGAAGGGTTAAAGAAATTATAGTTGAAACACGACATTATTATGATGATACACCTCAAATAATCACATTTAATGAATCTGCTAAAAAAAGAGTTGCCAAAATTACAAACCTTTTCAAAGATGGTACTTTTGAGATGTATTCTAAATATATATTAGATGCTAATTCGAAAAGAACCTATACAGGAACTGAAAAAAAATATTGGAAATCAGATGAATATCGTCCTTTAAAAAAGAACAAAGGTATTCAAGATGGACTGCAAAAGACAACGACGGTAAAGACTGAAGTAAGAAATTTTAGTGGTGTTAGGCAAAGTCATGCCTTTTGTGATCAGATGGGTTCAGGTGTTACATATTCAAGACCCAGATATAACAAAAAAAACTTGAATCCTGCAAATAGTTTTATTACAAGTGAATATAAATAATAATAAGAACTATGAATTTAATATTTTAATATATCATACTAAATTTTGTAAGATATAAATTTTGTAAGATATCGTGTCCCCAGCAGAGAACATCTATGTTTTTTTTTTTATAACGTCTAGCTGTCAGAAGACTTGAAACATATTGAAACTTCCAAAATCAACAGTTGATTAGTGAACCTATAGATATAAGAAAGGTTGATTATTGAGATCGTTCGATGCTTTGTCTACAGAGGAGGTCTCAAGTGATATTAGGACATGTTGTACCCAAAATTCTGACCAGATTTAGATCGGTGGATGCTATCAAAACACAGGAAAATCTTATAGATGATCTTGACACAGAAATTGCAGATAATGTGTTTGAAGGTGAAGATGACAAATTAATATTTAATGAGAAAGAGTTTGAAACATCAGTTCCATTGGAGTATAGTAAAGAATTTGAATCTAGAGATTATTTGAAAAATTTATTGGTTCATAGAATACAAAGTCATAGTTACAAGGAAACTGATTCATACATCAAAGAATTATCTAAAAGAAGTTCAACGGTAACGAAAACAATTCATAAGATTGAAAAAGGCACTGCTATACCGACTATTTCTAAGACTAAATATGATTCAATGAAGAGAACTTATAAAGATATCAAAGATAAATCAGTACCTTTCTCAGATATCATTCAGGTAAGAGATTCCATTGAACCAAATGGGAATCAAATTTTAAATGTTAATTCTATATTCAAACAAAATGTTGATCATGAGATTATACCATCGTCTAATGCTGAATTTTATAAAACAATATATACTTTCAATGGAAAAAAACAGAAGTCCTCCACCAAATCCAAATTGTCTCCATTTTTAAAATCTTTAATAGAAGATATTAAAAAGAATTTTTTACTTGAATCAAATTTTGGTTCATCAAAAATTTATAAAACAAAAAGAAAAATAACTGAAGACTACTTAAATGATTTGAACAATAAAAGAATTAAACATCCAACCCTTAGGTTTGATGATATTTTCAATGAATTAGCTGAAGTTTTAAGAATAGTTAATTCTGGTAAAGTTACATTAATAGGTATAGATTGTGAATTTAATCCTTTTGGAGAACCTAAACAAATAGGAATTGCTATATATCATCCACCTGGAAGTACATCAATTTTTCCAGATATTAAAAGTTTTCATATCATAATAGAGGAAGACCATATTCATCATAATTCAGGTATTGGTCAATCATGTTGTACATTCTTAGCAGGAAATTCCTTAATTTTGAAAAGAAAAGAAGCAATAAAGTTGTTGAATGTCTTTATTGAGATATATTTCCAAAATAATAGTAAATCAAAAAGTCAAAATCATCAAGGTGCTGCATTTGTTTGTCATGGTTACGAATACGATTTTGAAGGATTAACGAAGATGGGTGTGAGTTTCCCTGAAAAACTTACAATTATTGATACTCATCAACTATATGTATGCTCACACGGGATTAAGGCATCAGGTACTTCAACATTAAGTTCAATTAATAAGAGATTCAACTTATTACAAAGTTTTGCACATAATGCAGGTAATGATGCTTATTATTCTTTAATGTTATTACTAAGATTATCAGATCCGGCTTTCAGAAAAGCACAAAAATTAGATGATTTTATTGAAGATTATAAGTACGAACATCAATGGACAGTTGATTCACTCAAAATGAAAGAAATGGGATTTTTCCCCAAAGTTTTCGAAGAAAGAGATCCTATTCAATGGAACATTTATGAATTTTCACCCCCCAAAGAGATGGATGATGCCGAAGATGCCATAAAATTTGCATTCAATAGACAATACAAAACATAAGAAACATATTTATTACTAGAGATCTCCTGTACATAGCTGAGAAATAGAAGATTGTATATATATTTATTAAAAACTTTTTGGTAGTTTATATACCCGCGAATTGATCTGTCGTAAATTTGTATCACCAAAGAAAAAAATATCGAAAGCTCATCAAAGTGTTCTTTGCGAGAAACAGACATCAAAAAGCTCCAAAGGAATACTAGAAAGCTGTTTGCGCTCATCTGCTACTATATTTCACTTCAGGGTTTGATCATTTGAAAAGTGCAGTGAATCGTCTTTATAGCTGCTAAAATACTCACATTCAAAGTGCTGTCATCAACGTTTAGGGCGTCACTAATACGAAAGGTAGAGCCCTTTCATTTCAATACCATTTCAACCCTTTCCATCGTGTCTTTGAAAAGATCTATAGGTTACAAAGCTGTTTTGGACTCAGAAAGAGGTGGTCCAGCTCTTCAAATACCTAACAAAAAATTCAAAAGATCGTTATCAACAATGAATACAACAACGGGTTCAACAGATTCAAAACCTAAACCAAAACCAAAACCAAAGCCAAAATCAAAACCATCAAAACCAAAAGCGAAACCAACATCAACAGATACGTCTAAAAAATCGTCAAACACTTTTAGAAAATCCAGTGGTAATAAGCAAAGTGGTAAAAAGACAGAAACCACATACTCAAAGCCAGATGTGAAGAGTGAAACCAAACCAGTACAGAACCCATCAAGTAACGATAATGGTGAACAAGTAACTGTCGCAAGTTTACTCTCAAGTGTCCCTCCAAAATTACAGAATAGTAATACATCCCCTGAAAATCCTGTTTCTGAATCAACAAACTCTTCTTCATACAATGGAAACAAATCTCAAAACTTATCATTAAGTGAGATTGTCCAAGCTCTAAAAGATATTCCAGATGCAAGTTATATTGAAGAAATATCAAAAGCTCGTTTTCATAGCGTTGAGAAGTATATTGAAGAATTGGAGAAATCAAGTACACATCATCCAAATCTTCAAAATAGAGATAAACTTGAAGTACTTGTTAATGCTATTCGTACTGTTAATAATCAAAAAACTGCATTGGTATCTATTGACATTGAAGCATTTGAAAGAAACACCAATATTGTCACCGAGTTAGGTATTTCAATTTATGATCCAATAAAAGAAGCAACTTCATTAGTCCCATCAATTATTAATATTCATATTATATTGAAAGAAGCTTTTAAATTAAGAAATGGTTCTTTTGTTCATGATCATAAAGATAATTTCTTGGGTGGTAATTCGTTAGTATTAAATCAAAAAAATACAGTTAAAATGGTTCAATCAATAATAGATTATTATTTCATTGAAAGACAAAAAGATGGATTTGATGCAAGATTTGTTGCACATAATGCAGCAGGTGATTTGAAATGGTTAAGACAAATGGGTGTTAAATTACCACAAAATTATGAAAGTTTAGATACAGAAAGAATTTATACATTTACACATGGACAAAATGGTTGTTCATTAGGTGGAATTTTGAAAAGATTTAATATACCTCATAGTTTTTTACATAATGCAGGCAATGATGCTTATTATACACTTATTGCATTATTAAAAATGACAGATCCACATTTTAGAAAAGTTAGAAAATTAGATGATTTTGAAGAAGATGAAAAATATAATTTATTTAGTGAATCACAAAAAGATTTATTAAAATATCAAAATAATTTACCAAAAAGAAATAATCAACCAAGAAAACAATTGAAAAGCCATGAATTTTCTCCTTATATTGAATATTTTAGTCATCAAGATGCCTTATTAAAGATTTTTGAATATCATTAGTGATGTTTAAATATATAATCGACGAGATTGTGGTTTTATTTCATTGTTTAACTAATTATAAAGTAATACCATGTATTTAGTGATCAACCAGACGTATATTGGCGTAAGCTACATTGTACCTTATATTCCTAAAGGAGTTATGACAATTCCCTAAACCTAATATTTCAAACCTAAATTAATCTGAAATTTCATCTGGCCTGGCATTAAACTGAACTTAATCCAAAACTTAATCAACGATTCTATATGAGAACATTTGTACTCATTAGGAAAATCAACCAAACTCTAATTTATGCACTATTTATGGAATTTTAGCAACTATGCTGGTGTCTATATTTGGAATATAAATACCAGAAAATATCCCTGAAAAGTTTTTTGACATTTACTTCTTTTCATGAATCTGGTGAACATGTCAATTAGTTGAAGTCAAGATAAAGTAGAGCATGCATTCAAACATTATTATTTCATCAACATCAGCTGCTTCATACTCATGATTGATGAGATTTGATTAAGTACCTTTTATCATTTTGGGTCTAAGCTTTAAGGAAATAGGAATTATAAGTCCACATGACACATCAAAGGTGAATTATATCAAATCAAATAAATCAGCATTTTTTTTTTACTTATAATAAATGTGTATTGACTATGTCTTTAAACTAAAAATCTTTTTAAAGGAAATAAAAATATATAAAAAATTTGAAGACTTTAAAACGTCTGAGAAATAATGGTTTAATGCTGTATTAACATTTTGTTTTTTTTTGTTTTTTAGCATAAAAACGGTATGAGTTAGTGCCCTAACCAGGGAAAGCTAACCCGGAAAACAGCAAAAATTTCCAATTTCAAGCAAAGACTCCGTGGCCAAGTTGGTTAAGGCGTGCGACTGTTAAAACAATTAGCAGGTTATCGCAAGATCGTCAGTTCAATCCTGACCGGGGTCGAGTTTTATTTTTTTGCACTTTTTTCGGGCAATTTATTCATAAATTAGCTTGAAATTGTGGTTAATTAGTTTTTTTTTGGTACATGAATGAAGTATAGTTGTTATATTGTTTATTAAGAATATTTGTAGTATTAAAAAGAATCAAATTATTGAAGAAAAGTCGTAAAAACATAGCAAAATGTGAATAAATAATTAATGTCCGATCTCAGAAAAATCCATTATATTTCACCACCTGTTGAGATCCATTCAGACAAAATTGAAAATCTCTTTGGACTTATAAATTCTTTCAATCCATCATCATATAATCCAACTAATATAGTCCAACCAATAGAATTAAATAAAACATCCAAGTTTAAATTTTCCAATTTTTTATGATTTTTTTGTAATTTTCTTCTCCATAATGAAAGTAAAGTTATTCTTAAAACATATGTAACAATTGATTTATTAACTGTTTTATGATAAAGAATACTCCATAGACCAGCTATGAATCCTATTATTCTAAAATTTTTAATTGGTGTTCTTGAGTTTATGTTTTGGGTTGTTAAATAATGGGAAGTTATTGTGGTTAAGATTGTAAAAATTGATAATTTTGATATTGATTTCAAAAGATTGATTAAGTATTGTTTCCAATTTGTTTTCAAAGTTTCTAAAGTTAATTTTCTAGTTATTATATCTTTGATAATGTAAATTGGGATCAAATATAATACTAATTTTGTGAATTTTAAAGGTATAAATCTTTGTAAAATATCAATAAAATTTGGTGTTATTGGATTTGTTAATGAAAGGATTTTGTTTGAATGTAATGGTGATTGAATTGAGGTGATTCTAGTGACATCAGTTTGAATTATTGTAGAAGATAATTTTCGATCTTTCAAAACAGTAGCTTTTCTAACTAATTGATTGATTTCAGTAGTGAAAGGCCATTGTTTACCATTATACCATGAAGGTTTTGAATCATATAAATCAGATAATTGTGAATCAAATATTTTTTTAACCAAACTTGGAGAATGTTCTGGATGAATGATATAAGTATGATATAATTCACCTAATAAGAATGGGATTAAAATCCAAGTTTGTGTTAATTTATCAATTAGGGGGTATTTTTCTTTCAAAGTTGAAATATAACCTTTTTGGAATTCCAAATTTTGCAAACTTTCCAAACCGTATACTAATACATAAATGGATAATAAATCACGAGAATAATTTTTTGGATAAATTGAAAATGAAATTAAAGCAGTTAAGAATGTTGTAATCTTTTTTGATGTTTTAGGATCTAATTTAATAATCTTATTCAATAATAAGTGTATACTTGGAACTGATGATAATAAATTCCCCAATGAAACACTAACTAACCCCAAATTTTGGAAAATTTTAAGGGAAATTGAACTATCCAATTTCTTATTCTTGATTAAATTAATCACAAGATTCTTAATTGAAGTTATAGTAGTCAAAGCACCAAATAACGCTAAACTTGATCTAATCAAATTTCTTGAAGTCTTTGCCAATGCACCAGTAATATCATCACCACTTATATCCAACTTGGCCAATTGGAAATCCACTAGCACTTGATTAAACAATGTCAATACCTTCACTCTTCTTGGATCATCTTTATTAATACCCAAACGCGTTAACAAATTAGGGAGAACCTTCGTAACAAACCTTTCCAAATCACCTGTTTGCACCAGAAACTGTGAGACGTAGAGCAACGACCTATAACCACAATACTTGTCTTCACCAACCATCTTTGACCTTTGATACCTTTGACTTTGACCTCAGTCTTTGGTGCTTTTGATGCTTTTGATGCTTTTGATAAGACTCGGTTATGTTTTCTCTCCATAAAACAATCAAAACAGAACCAAAAACCGGTAAGCCCACGCACAACCGCTATCGATGAGCAGAGGCAAATTAATTTTATTTCACTGCAATTTGAACACCTCAAAAGTTGATGAGTTGAACGAAAACCACAAGATCAAGTAACAAGTTCACTAACAACATTCGCATACAAGTCTCCATTATAGACACACAAAGACACCACACCTTGGAAGGATAGAACAGGGAAATCCTTTGTATTATATTAAATTAGAGGTTATAGATCTCGAATCACAATTCCATCAATCATTAATTAATTAGCATACTCATTAAAGACCACAACAAACCATGTCATTATCATCAGAAATAGCTGGTGTAATAGAAGAATCAGAAGACCTACGTCTTTTCCCATCCCAAAACATAAAACCTAAACCTCAACCTCAACCTCAACTTCAAACACCTACAACATCAACACCACCATCAACAAGAGATATAACATTATCAGAAAGAATGATTAGTGCATGCTCAGGTTCAATCATAACTTCATTAATAGTCACCCCTTTAGATGTCGTAAGGGTTCGTTTACAACAACAAGAAATCTTACTACCCAGTTCAAATTGTTGTAAAAGACAAGTTTTTTGGGAAACTGCTACACAAGCTGCTACACAAGCATCTACATCTTCAGCAGGAACAACAATACCATTACAATCAAGAACCGGATTCAATACATTAACAAACACCAAAACTAATCAAAACTGCATAACAACAGATCATATCTGTATAACAGACAAAAAACTCTCAGGGACATGGAACGCACTTTATAAAATTGGTAAAGCTGAAGGTCCAACAACATTATATCGTGGACTTTCATTAACTTTATTAATGGCCGCTCCAGCAAATATAGTTTACTTCACAGGTTATGAACTCCTTAGAGACAATTCCCCCTTACGTTCTTGGGAAGTTTTAAACCCTTTATTATGTGGATCTATAGCTCGTGTATTAGCTGGTACTTCAGTTGCACCTATTGAATTATTAAAAACAAGATTACAATCCATGCCATCAAGTTCCAAGACCCAGAGTAATGCCCTAGGACAATTATTAAAATCTGTGAATCAAGAAATTCAAATAAAGGGGATTAGAAGAGCTTTATTTAAAGGTTTAGAATTAACATTATGGAGAGATGTCCCCTTCTCAGGGATTTATTGGGCATCATATGAATTTTTTAAAAATAAATTAAGTACAAGAGTTAATTTTTGGAAGAATGATGAATATAATTTATTCTTGACAAGTTTTTTGAGTGGTTCTATATCTGGTACTATTGCTGCTTTAGCTACTAATCCTTTTGATGTTGGTAAGACAAGATTACAAATTAGTATTGAAAATGATGGGAAAAATTTAAGTAATAAAAAAGCAAATTCAATGTTTACATTTATGAAAAATATTTGGAAAATTGAAGGATTTGGTGCTTTATATGTTGGTATTGTTCCAAGAGTTTTAAAAATTGCACCAAGTTGTGCTATAATGATTTCAAGTTATGAATTAGGTAAAAGATTTTTTTCAAAGATATAGAATATTAAGCATATAAAATTTGTACATATATACATATGCATGATATACTGAAAAAAACACATTGCATATATATAAACATCTATACAAGTAATTAGATAAATAAATAGATGAAACATTTAATGATATACATAAACTTAATTATATAAGTATCAAGAAATCACGTAGTAGTAAATATTTATAATCATGATGATGCCCAATCATTTTGTTGTGATGGAGGTCTTATCATTCCTAAAGCACCAGGTATATGATTTGTACCATATTGACTTATAATTGTATTTGAAAGATCATTATCTGATGAATTATCAGATATCATAGTTAATGTTTTATTTGATGAAGCAGTTGGTGGTGGACCTGAATTTAAATTACCTGATTGAATTCCAGTATAAAAAGCTGAATTATTTTTTGATCCATGGCCAGATATTTCATTTATTCTTAATTTTTCAATTTCTAATTTGGAAAGATTTATTGATGTACCAGTTTTATTTGTATCATTATATTGATGTTTATCTTTTGTATTTAAACCAATTCCTTGAATATTTGGTGATGTTGTTTTCTGCAGTGAAGATGCAGATGAAGATGAAGAATTTTGATGATTTTGATTATTGTTAATTTTATGAGAACTATGCAGATCTTTATTAACATTTAAAGATTCTTCATTAAATGAATTATCAAGAGTTTTAGTAATTGTAGTTGGAGATTCACCATGATATTTACCCATCAGAGTTGAAGGAGCAGTTGGATTTGATGAATTATTATTTGAATTAGCTGTAAAATCTCTAAAACGATTTTGTAAAGCCATTCTTTGTACATTTGAAATACTTGAATTATTATTAATTAATTGTGGTACATTTGAAGAATTTGGATTTGAACCATAATCTCCCCTTGGATCAATTAGATTTTTTTCTTCTTTTGGTTGTATCTTTTTATATGAAGGTAATTCAACAATTTCTAAAGATTTTCTATATTGTTTTATCGATTGATTTTTATTTGAAATTAAATAATCTTTTATTGTATCTTTTAGACCTAATTGAATACAATTATCAAGTTGAAAATTTACAATTCTTAATGTAGCTTGAACTTCATCATAACTTTCTTTTGATAATTCATAAATTGGAGTAGTACCAATTTTATGTTCAGTATCTCTTAATTTTGTCATAATTTTAATTGATTTAGAATTTAATTCATTTTTCCTTTTTTCTCTTTTAGAAACACTTAATAATTGTTGATTGATTTGTGCTCTTTTTGTCATTAAAATTTCCGAGGATTCAACTTCTAATTGTAATGAAATCAAATATTCTTCTAAAATGGATTTACATTCTTTATTTACTAATAAATTTATCCAATTTTGAATTTCATTCATTAATTCTTTTTGTTTTTGAATTTTTTTCTTTTCCAGTTTATTTAATTTTGAAATTTTTAAATGAATTGAAGATGAAGACAGTTGATAACCACCTTGTTTACCACCAAATTTACCTGATGAAAATAAATTTCCAAATGAATAACTTGAAGAACTTGCAGTACTTAAAGCAGCAGAAGAATTTCCAGTAGAAATAGATGAAGTCATACCAGCAGAACTATAATCATCACGATAAACAGCTGAATCTTCATCGATTCTTGAAGTTGTAGCTCTAGATACCGTAGTTAAAGGTCTTGAAGTTGAATCCATAGGAGAAGGTCTTTCACTAAGAACTGAATTTTGATCACCATTATCATCAACAGATTCAAAATAACTTGAACTTGAAACTGAATCTAATTCTTGGAATTTACCGATAGTACCATTTATACGAAGATTATCAATATGATTCCGATGTTCATTAGTTTGAGGACTTCCAGGTGATAAATCAGTTGGTTGATATTCAGCTTGAGACATGACGAGTACAACCTTAGACCACTATTAAAACCAAAACAAATCACCAAAAGGACCAAATCACCAATTTTTCTTCAATCTGTAAATTCCAATCATTTTCAACACAGCGCTTTATGTCAAACCTTTTTTTTTCTTTGTGGTTGTTGTTTTTTTTGTTGATGATGGAATTTCCAAACAAATTTGTGGTTTTGTGGATTTCAATTGATTTCTATAACAACAAACAACAATCATCACCAAATATCAAATAAGCGCCCTGATCAAACACTACCCAGAATCCAAAAGGATCTTCATAATAACATGTTTTATTGAATATACAAATATCTATTTAATAAACAGAGGGTCAATTATTTCTTTGTAACAACATCATCAGTATTTAAGCCACCATATTTCTTAATATTTTGTTTTAAATCATCTAAACTTGAACCAATTTTGTCAACACTATTTGAATAACCATCTTCACTATCTTTAACAAAAGTATTTAAATTTGAAACAAATTTATCTTGTTCTTTTGTTAATTTTGGTAAATTTTCATTTTCTAATTTATAGAAAAATCTTGTAGAATTTGTAAAAGTATTTGGTAAAGTTAATTTAAAAGCTGTTAAACCCAAGGCAATTGGTACAATACCTCTAAACAAAATATTTGAACGACGAGTTATTATTGAACCAGTTAATGAAGCAATAAGAATATATATAGAACCTGGTAGTAAATCTTCATCTTTATTATGTAAATTAGCTATAGTTGATGAGAAATGTTGTTCTTTAGTATGATATGATGAAGTTAAAGAATCTAATTTTGATTCAGTTTCATTCCATGTATTATTTATTGAATTTCTAATTATGGTAAAATATTTTTCCAAGAATGAAGGTGATCTAATTGAAGTACCATTTATTAATCTTGGAGATAATGAGTCCAAGTCTTGTTGTGATGTAGGTTGTGTAGTTCCTGGGACAGGTGTTATGTGTTCTTCGTCTTCATAGAATGAGCGTGCCATGTTGAGTCAATGATATACTCTATACCAATACCACTATCCATTATTATACCAATGTTCAACAATCAACTTTTTCCAATTGGTGTGGAAATCTCTAAACCATTTTTTCGCGAATGAATACATTGAAAACAGTCACCTGACGCGTCACATGATGAAAATTACATAATAAATTATATAAAGTGTGCTCTGATCAGCTGTCTGTTTACGGAAAGTCTGTGCATGGTTTCTTTTCTTTTCTTACTGATAATCATCTGATCCAATCACTTGATTAAATGTAGGATAATTAACACAGTGATAATACTACTACAAACTACAACTACTATTCACTTCCTATCCCCCATACAATACCATCCCTTATAGCCTATACTTCCTTATTAGTCACTAGTAATTCTATCCTAATTCACATTGTCAAAGGATCTCCCGATACTCCCCGATTCCCTTCTTCCAGTGCTCCAGTGATTCCTTGAACCGCCGAGGTTTCAATTTTCTGGGGAATTTGAAAATCGGAAAATTTAAAATTTGCAAAAACGCAAAAAAGTTAAAAATTAAATTGCCGGTGGCCAAAATTATATAAAGTGTATGATTTCTCCTAGAAGAACAATAGTCATCAACAACATTCTGAATAAAAAATAGTCAAATCAACAATCATGTCCCTTTGTGGTCCAACTACTGCTCTAAACAAACTAAACCAACACTCTCAAGTGGATAGATCCCTTCATCAAGATGCTCAAAGATCTTTTACACCTCAATCTCAATCTTTTAAATCAAATAATGTGGAAAATCATCAATTAAATTTAGAATTTCAAAATCAACAACAATTTCAAAAAAGTTTTAATCCAATATTTGCAAATGCATTTGGTAAAGCTCCAGTTCAACAACAACACCCAGTTCAACAACAACCAAAAGCATCATGGGCTAATGATTTCAATATGATGAATCATCAACAACATCAACCACATCATCAATCACATCAATATACAACAAATCAAGGATGGAATACAGAATTCCAATCATTTCAAACACATCAACAACAATCAGCTATTGCTACACCACGTTCATTTACAAATTTAACTCAATTATCTGGATTAAATATGACTCAAGCTTCTATTCCAACAACTTATCAAAGTCATAGATTAACTGAACATCAAGAATTACATCAACAAGATTTATTAAATAAAGAATTGGAATCTGAATTTATGAAATTAGAACAAGAATTTCAAAATGCTTCTATAAATGAACATCAAATTCCAAAAAAAGTTGAACAACAACAATCACAATCTCAACAAGCACCAATTTTTAAAAGATCAAATTCAGATTTTGCAAATGCAGCAATGCAAGTTGTTAATGCAATGTCATCACAAAAATCTTCAAAATTTCAAAATTCAAAATTTTTATCATTAATGAATTTAGTATCAAAAGGTGAAGTTGAATTAAATGATGATGAAACAAAATTAATTGATCAAGAAGGTAATGAAATTAATGAAAATGAACAAAACAAACCACATTTACCTGATCCTTTAGCAGGTATTGAAAATGGGGAATTACATACTCCTTTCCAAAGTGCAAAATTGGCTGGTGAGAATTTTGGAGAAAAGTATACATGGGATGATGTTTATGATGATTATAGAAATGATGATGATGCATTCTAAAGTGAGCCGTAAGGCGAACTTTTGGAACCAAATGTTTTGGAAATATAAAGCATAAACTATAAATGATAAACTATATTCCAATTTTATGATATTCACAATATATTTTAATGTGATATGAATTTTTATGAACAACTAATATTCTAATTTTTAATTTAAAACAATATCAAAAGATATTGTTTATGTATATAGAAGATTTTTAATGAATTATGTAAAATTTAAAAACCATACGTAGTAATAACATTAAATCATGAAATATATTCTATAAACTGTGTATCTATAAGGTCATATCTTTTTATTTTGAATCAAATTCAATTAATTCTTCTTCACTACCATGAAACCCACCATCATTAATTTTAATCTTATCTAAACCTTTATTCAAATCTTCAGATTCATCACTATCATGTTCCTCCTCTTTCACCCTTCCACCCAACTTTCCACTCTGTCTACTCTGTTGTGTCTGTTGACTCTGACCTTCTTCACCCATCAACCCAGATTTAACATCCCCCAAGAATCCCCATAATGAATTACTAACCCCCTTAAGAACATCTTCGTTATTATTATTTTGGATATTGTCTTTTCCTAATTTTTCAAATTCATTTTGTAATAATTGATCAAATTGATTTAATAAATTCATTGGTTTTGTCCAATATGATTGGGTGGATTCATTTGTCTGAGATTGGGATTGTTGTTTCTGTATTGGTTGTACTGGCGGTACTTGTTGTTGATTAGGTTGTTGTTGTGAATGTATTGATGAGTTTGATGAAGAAGGTTTATGTTCAAAAGGACTTGAATTTGATCTAGATTTATTCTTTATTTCATTTGGTTTATTTAAATTTTCAATCATTTGGGTTTTTAATTTATTTAAATCATCTTGTTCTTTTTGAATTTTCAATTGAATTAATTTTAATTCATCTTTTAATTCAATAATTTTGATTTCTGAACTGGCCATTTTTCTCAAGATATTATTCATATCTTTTTCTGATTCATTTTGGTTTTGTATATTTGATGATTGTCGAGGTTGAGTGGGCTTTTTAGGGGTTGTCTTGGAACTCATTATATTGAGATTTAATCCTTTCTTACGTGAATTTCCATTAGTAGTAGTAGTACCATTAATACCCATATTACCACTTGATACAGAAATTGGAGATAATGGATGATATGAAACTGAATTCTTATGAGATTTGGTTGGAGTAATGGCATGTGTTTGCTGTTGTTTAAATGCAGTATTTATATTTAAATTTGGTGTTGATGGATTAATTGAATTTAATTCATGGTCATCATGAGTATTATTTATTAAATCATGATCAAATTGAGATTCAGTTGGTGATGATAATGTTGAGATTGTTGATGTGTCTTTGTTGATGGACTTGTCAAAATCCTGTATGAACTGGTCAAACTTGGACATGTTGATCAGATCTTGTGTAGTATCTTGTATATGACTTGATCTAAGGTTGATGTTGATGTTTATGTCTTGTGTTTATTTGCCATTGATGTAAATGTCAAATTGAAAGATTCGCGAATGGAAGATGATTTGATCAACTACAATATTTTGACACCAATTAATTTGTTTAATGATCTGTTATATAATGACTGATGATGATGAGGTACTATCTACTATGGAAGAACTCATTAGTTATTTTAAAGACTGTTTTTAAGACACTGACATTGTGTTCCCTATATATAATAGAGGTTATCAAATTACCTGGAAAGGCTCTTTTGATATAACGATAAGGGATTGTGTACTATAATCCTGTTAATGCATGGCTATTGTTTATTGACTACTTATTTACTTGTACAATAACTATCCAATACAAAAGTTGGTCTACAATTCATAAAGAGATATATAAAATACAAATTAATGTCTATATACTATTAAAAAACCAACACTTATTATCCCAATTAGGCAATTCACCACAAAGGGCTAGCAGTAATACGTCCCCTACCAACTTTGGATCAGATTACCACGAATTCAATTTCAATTCAATTCTCAATCCTTAAAATTCTCAATGAAATTGACAGCATCAACTATTAACAATTAACAACAACACTCAATTACCGCTCAATTATCAAACAATGACTCCTTTCAAGTTTGGTAAGAAGAACAAAGCTAAGGACAAAAGAAGTTCCAAGGAACAACAAGCTGGTCTTAATGATTCTGCTTTTTCATCTCCTGTTTCAAATAAAGGTGAAGATTCTCCAACTTTTTCAAATTATTCAAATCATTCAAATATAAGGAATAATAATGATCAGGGGAATCAAGGTAATCAAGGGAACCAATTCAATTCTCCTCAACAGTTTAACAATTCTCCTGCTCAACAAAACCCACAATTTAAAGATCAAGGTGTTGGGATAGTTTATGATCAAAATAATAATTATCATACTAAATCACCTCAAAAATTTAATCAATTTGGTCAACCTCCAACTAATCCAAATACTCCAAGATCATTACCTTTCAATCAATCTCCACAACAAGGTCAAGGTCTACAAGGTGGTCAACAAGGTCAATTCAAAAATCAACCTCATCCTCAATATGGTCAACCTTTACCTCCAAATGCAATTCAACAACAACAACAAGGTGGTCCACAAGGTCAAGGTCAACCACCTCAACGTGCTACATTCAAATCACCATGGACAAGATCAAAATTATTAATCTCTCCATTCCCTCGTTATAGACATACCGCATCAAATTATTCAAATGAAAAAGGTGAAATTTTCATAATGGGTGGGTTACATAACACTAGTGTTTATGGTGATACATGGATTCTTAAACCAGACTCTTTAGATGGTGAACCAAAAAATTTCCAATCATTCCAAATTGATATATTTGATAATTCTCCTGCTCCAAGAGTTGGTCATGCTTCTACACTATGTGGTAATGCATATGTTATATTTGGTGGTGATACCGTTACAAATGAATTTGGTGAAATTGATAATGATTTATATCTGTTCAATATGAATTCTCATGCTTGGACTATCCCATCTCCTGTGGGGAAAAGACCTTCAGGTAGATATGGTCATTCAATTGGTGTTATTGCTATAACAAATTTTGATTCAAAAGTTTATTTGTACGGTGGTCAATTAGATGATGTTATTTTTAATGATTTATGTGTTTTCAATTTATCAAGTTTTAGAAGACCTGATGTTCATTGGGAATGGATTAACCCTAAAGATAATATTCGTCCTCCTCCTTTAACTAATCATTCTATGGATGTTTATGATAATAAATTATGGATATTTGGTGGTTCAAATGGTAAGAAATTAAATAATGAAATTTGGTGTTTTGATCCAGAATTAGAAAGATGGGATCAAATTAAAACTTTAGGACAATTACCAAAACCTGTTGAAGAACATGCTTCAGTTATTTATAAAGATTTACTTATAATTTATGGTGGTAAAGATTCTCAAGGTGAAGCTGTTTCAGATTTATTCTTTTTGAATTTAATCACCAAAACTTGGTTTAAATTCCCAACAAATTTCCCATTGGAACCACAAGGTAAATATGGTCATACTTTATCAATCCTCAAGAATGATAAATTATTAATCCTTGGTGGTCATTTACCAGATTATTCCAACTTGGGTGATAATTTAGAAGTTTCAAATATTGATAATGGAGTAGGAACAATTTTAAATTTATTAGACCTATCAAACCTAGTTAAATTAGTCCCAGGATTACAACAATATTCAACGCCAAATAAAATCCAAGATTCAAGATTCCCAAATCAACATCAAGGTCATCAAGGACAACAACAAGGAAATTTATTTACACCACAAAAAACTCCACAAGGTCAAATTGATTCTCCAATTCAATCAAAATCTCCACAACAATTACCTCAAGGTCAAGGTCAAAGTCAAGGTCAAGGTAATCCACAACAAGTACAAACCAGAGGATTTTCAAATTCAAGTGGAAATTATGGTCAAGGTGGTCAAGGTCCAAATAGTGCAAATTCAAATGGTCCAAGTAGATCAATTCCAAATGTTGGAGATGGAACAGGTGCTGCAGTAGGGGCAGGTATTGGGGCAGTTGGTTCAGCAGTTGGATATGGTTCTCAAAATGTTTCCAAAAATTCATTAGGTTCAAATCAAGGTCCTCAAGGTTTATCACAAGGTCCAGGTACTCAAGGCCCACAAGATTTATCGCGTCAATTCTCAGCAGAAGATGTATTCCAAAGAGAAAGAAGAAACTTAACACCAAAGAATTTATCCCAAACTCCAGAAAAACCATTAAATAATAACCTAAACGTTCCAAGTACAGGTCAAGTTTTTTCATCACCTGAAGAAGGTGAATTACCATTACAAATCCCATCACCAATCAAAACTGAAAATGAAATTCCAGGTTCTTTCCCAACTAATATTTCATCAGGTCAATCAGGTCCAGAATCACAAGAAGGGAAATTTTATCAAGATGATTTTAAAACTCCACAAGGTTCACCTTCCAAGACTAGTTTAGTTCCTGGAGAACATGGACAAACTGAAGAACTTGTAGAAGATGATGAAGTTGAAGATGCAGATGAATATTTAAGACCTCATATATATAAAAATGATGATGCTAAACAATCAGATTTTTTGGATTCTTATGTTGATGGAAATTCAACAAGTGATTTAGTTGAAAAAGGTGATGATGAAGAAGTTGGTACTGTTGGTACTACTGGTTCAGGTGTTGGTATAGGTATTGCTGGTGCTACTGCAGGTATTGCAGCTGTTGGAGGAGTTGCAGCTGTTGGTAACTTAGGTTCAAGTTCTTCAGCTTTAAAGAGTCCTGAAGTAAAAGATCAATTAAAATCAACTAGTGATGTTGTTTTAAATCCAAGTGATGAATTAGGATCAAGAGGGATTGATGTTAAGAATCGTGATGTTAATCCAAGTACATCAAGTGGTACTGGTGTCACTGGTACTGGGATTAAAGGAGTCTCTGGTAATAGAGATTTTAGTACAGCAAGTGTATCAAGTTTTGGAAATCAAGATCGTGAAGAATTTAAAAAAATTATTAATTCATTATCAAAAGAATTGGATTCTTTGAAATCATCTACAAATAAACAAGTTAAAGAAGCTAGTTCAAAAGTTAAAGAATTGGAATTGGAGAATGATGAATTAAAGAAAAAATTGAATTCTGGTGTTGGTTCTACTGGTGTCGTTGGTGGTGGCTCTACTGGTACTAGAGAATTAAGTACTGAAGGTACCAAAGATTTACAAGATGAAGATGAAAATAGTTATAAAAGAAAACATATTAAATTAAATACAGATTATCAAATCTTGAATCAAAAACATCAACAATTACAATCAAAACATGAAGAAATTGAATCAATCTTTGAATCAAATTTAATTGATTTATCAAAGTTAAATAATATTATTAAAAAACAAGGTGAAACTTTAGAAGAAACTCAAAAATCTTTACAAGATCAAGAAGATTGGAAATTAAAATATGATGAATTAGAATCTAAATTTGAAGCTTTGAATAAAAGATTTGATGAATTAAGTGAATCAAGAAGTAAAGGATTTAATGAAACTAATCAAGAAGTTAAAAATTTGAATTTAGGTCTTGATTCATTCTTGAGTAAATATTTGAAATCCAATGATGGAAGTGAATCTACTGAAGGTACAAGAGGATTAAAATCAAGTACTGGAAATATCGGTGATTCAGATGAAGTTACAACAAGTTTGAAAAATCAAATTGATGAATTATTAAAAGAAAATGAAGATATTCATACACAACATAAATCATTAACAAATAAATTATCATCATTTGAATCTAATCAAGAAGAATTAGAATCTCTAAGATTAAAAATTTCAGAATTATCCAAGATTGAAGAAAATTATAAAGATTCTTTACATTCAGTTAAAAATTCATCAAGAGCTTTACAAGTTTCACAAAATGAATTAAATAAACAAAAAGAATTAACAACTAAATTACAACAAGAATTAGATGAATTGAAAATCTTTAGAGCAAATAGAAAATCCTCAAGAAATACAACACCAATTGTTAATGATTTTGCTAAAAAAGATTTACCAAAAGGTACAACAGGTACTACAACTGATGAAGATGAAGAAGATTTTGAAAATGCTCATTTTAATTTAAAATTAAGAGATTTACAAGCTGAATTATTCATTACAAAGCAAGAACGTGATGAATTAAAACAAGATGTTTTAGATTTAAAGAAAAAGTTATTAAATTCTTCAACTCCAACTGGATCTTTTTAGGTTCTGTCCCCCATTCATTCCTGATTTGAACTATTGAATAAAAAAAGAAAAACTTCACCAAAAAAACATTCATTATGTACTATTTTTCATGGTCTTATTAGCTGGTTTTATTTGTTTTTATATTTGTTTCTATTTGTACCATTTGAATTTTTTTAATGACTATTTGTTGACTGATCTATGTATGATTCCTTGAAAAGTGAGAATTCATATGATCAACGTGTTTACTATTACTATCTGCAATTTATGTATAGTTTTTAATTGATTTGTGTTATTTTAATACCAATTTTCGTAGAACTTAGCTAAATCTTTTTGACGTTCTAGATTAACTATATATATAATTTGAGTTATTTACAATTATAATTGAAATATATCTATCGAATTAAAGCATTACAATATTGCAATATAAAACAGCTGCTACAGCTACAGAGTACCACATATCTATATTAATTACCAATTTATATAATTATATTGCTGACATTAAGTATAATAAGATCGATTATACAATTGCATTTATTTAATCATGATCAATATATTATAACTAGCTACGTCAAGAATTAAAAGTACTTGCAATATTCATATATTTAAAAGAGCAAAAATTATATATATTTACAGCAATATTTCAACAATTTCAGAACTCCATGTCTGAATCTGTATCAGCTAACGACTTCCACTGGAAATTACTTTCAATATTGAAGTAACTTTTGATACTTGAAATAATATCTTTTTTCAAATTTTCAATGTTTCTTGATGAAGATTCAACGACATTCTTCAATAATATTTCATTACAAAGTTTTTGGATCTGATTATTAGCAGCTTTGTTGTTGACTAATTGTCTATCATTATTATTATCTTGATAAATAAGGGGTGCTTCCAAATTATCGGAGTATTTGAGTGCTTCATGTAAATTGTTGTTTGCATATTTGCAAAATTGGGGGTGTTGTGAGGATAATTAAGCATCAGATATTTCACTATAGTGAATATTGTTAGTATAATCATAGCTTCAAGACAAATTAGCTTAATGGATACATACAAACAAGATCTTTAACATATTCTTTGTCTGATGGATGGTCTTGCACTTCTTGATCAGCAGTAGTAATTACTTCCTGATCTTTCTTAATTTGAACCTTTTCTTTACCTGCAGCAGTACCTTTTGAGGACATAATTTATATTTAAATGATCACTTATAAAATTAAATTTTGAATTTATATTGCAGTTAATATCAATATATATATATATAGGTAATAATATAACTGTGCTATACTTTTAGATTTAAAATTATAGACTGTCGATCAAGAGATCATTCTTGATATATATATATATATTATATAGGATCATAATTGTGCACAATTTTGGCTTATAATACGCTGTATACATATGAATCAAGGGAATATAGCCGGTACATGCTATATTAAGCATGTATTTAAGATATAAGTCAACATATATATAAAGTTTAATCATGGTAACATGCATGATCGTATAGCTTAATTAATTTAACTGGTGCATGTATATATAAATTTTAAATTAATTAATATAATGAAATATTTAAGGCCGCGTATAA